TGCCACATTTCGGGATCCGTGTATTCCGAATGCCACATTTCGGGATCTTATCCCACTCCTCACCCAATAAGAGCCTATCCACCTCCATCTTGAAAATATTAAACGCCACAACCTCCATTGCCTTCTGAGGCCGAGTTCTCACAACCCTCAAAAAAAAAATCTCATCTGTCCTAAGGGGGCAATCCCAAAATTTTAAAAAAAACAGTACCTCCTGGTTCTGAAATGACCCAGAGGAGACATGCGCTTTCCAGGTCAATCTTGTCAAGATCATTTAGGATCAGACAGAATTCTATCAAACACCTTCATCCTCCTACAAACTCTAGTGGAAACAAGCCAAGCCTGTTTAACCTTCCCACATGAGACAACCTGCTCAGAGTATCAATCTAGTAAACCAAGTCCAATGTATTTACTTTCTTAAATAAGATGACTAAAGATACACAAAGATTGTGTCACAGGAACAGCTGTATAATTGATGTCTAACATCCTTAATGTTCAATTCTTCGTACAATAAAGGATGGTATCCAGTTAGCGTTCTCAAGTACAGGGTGGCCCTGCATGCGGAGTTTTTGCGACTCCCACAATAGAACACCCAAATCCTTCTGCACCTCGGAATTCTGCAGTCATTCCTGCTTTGAGTAGCACTCTGCTGTTTCATCCTTACTGCCTTTTACATGAACTATAATGTCTACTGCCCCAGTTAGTATTCAGAAGGTACCTAACCACCCAGTGCTCTCCATTCCACAGCTATTCCATACCTCGCCAATTCCCCGCACCGTCTCCATGATGCGAATGTAGTCGTAGAAGACGGCTCCAGCTGTGTCCCAGTCCTGTATCTGTAAGCTGTACTCTGGAATGGCCAGCTTCCCCAGGAAATATTTCAGGTAGCTGTAATTCTCATTAACGATGGCATCTGGGGAGGAGGGGGTTTAAGAGACAGGACAGTATGGATTAGTACTAATACAGCAAAACACAGATGTATTGTCAGATCTGTAGACATTTCATTCTACCAGACCAGCCAGTTAGATTTCTTTTTGTCTTGCTCCTTCTCAGGATGAGAGATCAGCAATGCTGCTCACCCCTCGCTCCTTGGCCACAGCTTTAACTGTGTGGCATGGGACTGTAGTCACATAAAGGATCCAGATAGCTATTCCTCTTGCTGCAGGTAAAGAAGCTGCCAGTTAGTCCAGTCCCACATAGCACAGGTACAGATCTGCAAGCTCCCATCTGAGCGACTCACCAGCCCAACTTGGAAATAGACTGCTGTTCCTCGCGTCCCTGGCTCAAACTCCTCAGCACCCTCGTAAAGAGCATTGTGGGTGTGGGAGACACCACAAGGGCTGGAGCAGTTCAAGAAGGTAGCTCACTACCACCTTTTCAAGAGCAACAAGGGCTGGGCAAGAAATGCAGGCACAGCAGCAGTGTGTACTGTCTACAAGATGCACTTCAGCTGCATGGGCCTGCAACCTTTGAAATCCCTCCCTAAACCCCTCTGCTTCTCCACCCACCACCATCACTGAAAATCCATCAATTCGACCAAACTTTGGTCAGTGGTCCCTAAATGTTTGAAAATACCTCCTGTGAAATCCCAATGCTGCTTTCTCAATGCAGGTTTTGAGCCTGGTTGCCTGTTACCTGATGCAAGATGCCTGACCACCAGCTGGTGGCACTTGTTCCAGTGGCCTGCCTCGATCAGGTGAAGTGCCTCTTTGTGGATATCACCATCTCGGTGAGCCCTCAGGCTTTTGGCATTGTGGATCCACGCCGATGGGATACCGAGCTTCTCCTGCAGAAACAACTCTTTCTCCTTCTGCTCTTCTGTCTCATCCAGCGTGCAATGTCGGTTTAGCTGCTCCTGCACTGCGTTCCCTCGCTGTCTGCAGGAAGAAAGCAGTTCATTCAAACTATTTCAATGACACAGGGCAAAACCTGCCATACTCCCCAACCCCCTTAGGGATACACATTAACCTGCCATACTCCCCAACCCCCTTAGGGTTGCACATTAACCTGTAGGGTGTGATCTGCAATATTGAAACACTGACATTAATAACATTCCTGTCCCATCACTCTGTACCACAGACTGGTATTAAGTCTGTTCTCGGCAAGCTTCTGTGGTGTCCAAGTTTTTGAACTGGGTTTGTTACTCCAGTTCAGAACGGACAGCTGGATACAAGGGGAAAATGAAAGGATAGTCAACATCATAAGATGGAGCTATGCACTCAGGTTACTATAGGACTACAACTCCAGAACAGCACAAACGTTTTCAGCACAGAAGGACATCATGCTTATTTCGGCCTGCTGACTCTTTGCTAGACATTCTTTGCAAATATTAATTCCACTGCCCAGCTCTCTCCCCAAAGCCTGTATCAATCCCCGAATTAAGCCCACTGTCCTATTCTCTCCCCAGAGCCCTGTATCAATCCTAGGGAAGGCAATGGCCTAGTGGTATTATTGCTGGACTCTTAACCCAGAGACCCAGGAGACGACCTGGGGACGCAGGTCAGAATCTTGCAAATGGCAAATGGTGAAATTTGAATTCAATAAACATCTGGAATTAAGAGTCTAATGATGACCATGAATCTACTGTCAATTGTCAGGACAAACCTATCTGGTTCAGTGTCCTCTAGGGAAGGAAACTGCCATCCTTACCTGGTCTGGCCCACATGCGACTCCAGACCTACAGCAATGTGGTTGACTCTTATGGGCAATAAATACTGGCCTAGCCAGTAATGCCTTTATCTCGTAAATAAAAACAACTAATCCTGCTGCCCTGCTCTCCCCCAATAGCCCCGTATCAATCCCCAAACTATTCCTATTGGTCTGAGATAGTAGGAACTGCAGATGCTGGAGAATCCGAGACAACAAGGTGCAGGGCTGGATGAACACAGCAGGCCAAGCAGCATCATAGGAGCAGAGAGGCTGACGTTTCGGGCCTAGACCCTTCATCAGAAAAGCTATTCCTATTGGTCTGTTCTCTTTCATATTGCATTGTCTTTGCTTTACAATGTAATCAATCTTCTTCACACAAGATTGTGCTTTTTCAAACAAACACTTGGTGATGAAACATCCCATATTCCAGCAGCTCATCAGAAATTAACTTTTCCTAGCATCTCACCGAGGTTTGTACAACAATCCGTCATCAGCGACTCCCTAATGCACATGTTTCGAGATTTCCTCAAGTAAAGCCTTTCATAACTTGTAGACGTTTGATCTCCCCACCCCATCAGTCTTCCAGTTTGAATCACCCTAAGCTCTCCAGTCTCTCCTCATAACTACAGAATTTCCAACTTTAGGGCAGTAATTCTGAGCATCTGCTGAAGATTTAATGTCAGAACCAAACCATAACCAGGTTTCCAAATTTACACCAATTCTTCAACATTTGGCTAGCCAGGATCCTGTACACAGAAATGACTCCAGGAAATACGGCAGAATCTCAAAAGCCAAAGAGTGAACTTACTGAGAATCAGGAATGTGCAGTAGCACAAAGATTGCCCATTCCCAGAGGCCGACTGCCTCGAGCTGAGCAGCAAAGCTGGTGTGCACCATGGCCTGATGTTTCTCTGATAGGTGAGTGTAGTTCATTGCCTGCAACACCATCCACAGGTGCCAGCTCAGTCTGTAATCCAAGTGGTCAGGTGTCACTGTCCTGGGATTGAGCAGTGGGTGGAGCTCATAGTATCTGAAAGGAGGAAACAAAAACAGCCTAGTAAAACGCAAACAGGAAATCCAGTCGGTGCACAACGGAAGGACAGGGCAGATCGGTCAGAATTTGCAGGAGCAACAGCTCGGTTGTGGACAAGAGCAAAATTGAGTCACGCCTCTCTGTATGTGGAGGGAGGATCCTAACTAAATTGTCACCAGATGTCTAATATACTCAACACTGGGTTAGTGAAAAATCACAGACCGTGGCCAGAGAAAAATAATACTTCACTTGCTGAAGGAGCTCTGGTTCGGACCGAATACGCTTGACTATGCAGGGATAGATACCTGTCGCTGTACAGCTTCAGTAAATGGTAACAGATGTCCTGATGGGGGCCAGCTTCCTCTTCATTTTCAGAAGCTTCTATCAGGTCAGCCTTAGTATCTTCCAGGTAAGGGGGCAGTGGATATCGCGCATACCTCTGGACATCTTCACTGCCCTGTAAAAAGAGAGAGAATGCTTTAGGCGACACTAAGTGGTGATTGCACCTCTGCCTTCCCTGAAGGTCTCAGGAAGGGAAGTTGGTCAGTAACCTGACAGATCTTCACCCCTCAGCCAACATGAAGAAAGTTTTTGAGCCTTGATAAACAACCACAAGCCTGCAGCTTGTGAGGAGGCTTAAATCCTGCTCGAGGCTACAGCGCATCATTCCAACAGGCACTCCCACTGCTTACAAGGGAATGCTGCCTTTCAGTTAAGATTTCAAATTAATGTACTGGATCAACACATATCCACAGTCAACATTTTCAAAAAAATAAAGGACAAGATTAACTACCCTTATCTCACAGCACATCACTGAGATCAGACTGTGCACTAATTGGCTCACATTTCCAACACTTCAACAGTGATTATAGATCAGGAAGTAATTTGGGCTCAACAGCAGTTTTGTTATTTTGAAGATGCAGATGGGAATATATACATGCCAGCTCTTTCGTAGCTCCCACATGCTGCTGGATGCAGACAGAGAAACAAACTTGACCTCTAGCACAGACAGGTAACAGCCCACCTGATGCCAGAAGCCAGAGAACAAGGACTAGGAGACAGAAATTGGTCATTTGGCCCATTCTGCCTGCTCCACGTCAACAAAGACCACTGCTGGTTTAACTCCAACTTTCTACCACACACCCACAACTCTAAAAATATCAGCCTCAAATAAATTCAATATCCCAGACTTCTCTGCTCTCCAGGGAACAGTATTATACAGGTCAATACTCAACAGAAATAAAAAATCATCTCAAACTTAAATGGGAGGGTTTAATTTTTAAAATTATATTCCCTAGTCCCAGACACCCCTTTTTGGGAACCATCCTTTCAGTACCAAGCACCTCGATTTATTTTAATCAGATTATCTCTTGTTCATCATGGTTATAGGCCCAATCTGTTCAACCTTTTCACATAAGGCAGCAACCTTTCATTGTAGGGATGAGTCACAGTCATACAATCACAGAGTTGCACAGCACAGAAATAGACTTCTTGGTCCAACTCACCCATGCCAACCAGATATCCTAAATTAATCTAATCTCATTTGCCAGCATTTGGCCCATATCCCTTTAAACCCCAAGTGAACACTTTTCTGAGGTGCTTCCAATTCTCAAGTATGAAGGGCAAAACTGGTACAGTGGTAATGCTGGATGAATCATTCAGAATGCCAGGCTAGGAAGCTCTAGGGGGCAAATCAGAGTCACCTTGGGGTGTTTGCCCATAGAGCCCCAAAGGCGCAGGACAGGTTAAATAGGATGGGTTAAGGCAGCATATGAATCACTTACCTTTATTGATTGTAGTGTAGATTCTAAGAGTAGGGAAGTTGTGCTGGAGCTATACAGGACTTTGGTTAGGCCACAGTTGGAGTCCTGTGTGCAATTCCAATCATTGTACTATAGGAAGGACGCCTTTGCATTGGACGGGGTACAGAGAAGATTCACCAGGATGTTGCCTGGGAAGGAGCATTTCAGTGATGGAGAGGCTGGATAAGCTTGGGGTGTTTTCTTTAGAGCAACGAAAGTTGAGGGGGGACCTGCTAGAGTCGTATAAAATTATGAGGGGCATGGACAGGGTGGATAGAATGCAAGTGCTTCCCTTAGTCGAAGGGTCAATAACGAGGAGGCACAGTTTTAAAGGTGAAAGGCAGGAGGTTTAGAAGGGAATTGTGGAAAATAATTTCCACCCAGAGGCTTGGGGCAGTCTGGAAAACAGTACAGGCAGGAGAGGTCAACCTTTTAAAAAGTACTTGGAATGTTATGGTATTCAAGGCTCTGGAATGGAAAGTGCGGATAGGTTGGTGCAGACTGGATAGGTTGAAGACCTCCTCTGCGCTGTATGACTGGGACATGGGTTTGAATCCTACCTTGGCAAATAGCAAAATCTGAATTTAATAAACTGTGCAATTAAAATCTGACCAAATGATGACCATGCAGCCACCGTCAATTGTCAGAAGGGTTCTTATGACTCACTCATGTCTGCCACCATTCATTGGTCTAGCTGAAAAGGTACTCCAGATGCACAGTTGACACTAAAACTGCCCTCAGGACAGCCAAATCCCATGATCAAATTTTTAAAAAAATCATGTGCAGTCTTAAATTTTGTGCAGCTAAAGCAACACTTCCATCCTTTAATTTTCCATTCCCCTTGCAGTAAGTACCAAAACTACATTTGCCTTCCTAATTACTGCTGCCCCTACAAACCAACCTGGTGAAACATTGACTAGGACAGCTTCTCAAATGTTGCTGGAGCTGCATTAACATCCTGACCTTGGGATGTGGCAGCTTATTGAATGGCTTTTGGGATCCAGGTAGATCACACTTGCACGTTCCCACTTACCCACCCTGCTTGTTACTCCCTCAAAGAACTCATAATTTGTCAAATAAGACTTTCATTTGAAATCCATGTTGAATATTACCTCTTTAATGGATTTTTCCAATGACAGATGTTAGGCTAACTGGCTTACACAAATCACAGAACTGTTACATTGCAGGAGATCATTCACCCCACGGTGTTCGTACCAGCTCTATCACCTACTGACAATCTCTGGCCTTTTGCCCATATACTGCCACATCATTTCCGTCAAAATAATCATCCAATGCCCCTAATGAATCAGTCTCCTGGCAGTGTATTCCAGGCCTGAATTACTCACCGTGTAAAAAAGTTTTTTTCTCCTATCACTCTGGTTTCATTTGCATTGCACTTTAAATCTTTGTCCCCTTGTTTTTGTTCTTTTACAAATGGGAACAACATCGCTCTAGTTACTCTGTCTAGCCCACGTGATTTTGAAAACCTCTCAAAATCTCCTCTCCAAGGAGGACAGTCCCGACTTCAATTTATCCTCATAACTGAAATTCTTTAAATGCTTTGAATAACTGAATTATGCTGGAAGTATATTTAAAAATTGGTTAGGCCACTATTAGAGCACTGTGTGCTCTCTTGAATGCACATTATAAGGAGGGATGTGATAGCACAGGAGAGGGTGCAGAGGGAGATTTACCAGGATGTTGCCTGGGCTGGAGAGTTTCAGTTACGAATACAGATTGAATAGACTGAGGTTGTTTTCTTTAGAGCAGTGGAGACGGACAGGGAACACGCAGACATAAAATCATTATGGGGGGCATAGATAGGGTAGACAGGAAGGAACTTTTTCCCTTGATGGCCCAGTCATTAATGTATAGTAAGGGGTGACAGAGTGTGTGTGTGCGCGGAAAATTAAGCATTGGTACTGGAACCCAATTAAACCCTGCACTTACATGAATACAGAAACCTGAAGGTGCTTTCTCACCCATTACAGCGATAACAATGATACCTGAAAGGCTTCACTGTACATATTGAGAGCATCAGCAATGGAGGATCTGGGGGGCAGCATGTACCAGAGGTGGACGGCCAGACAGCGTTTCCAATCCAACTGCGAGCAGATGTTAATGTAGCCCTCTGAAGATATCCACACCTAAACAGAAAACAGAGTGACAATTTTGATGCTGGTCACAAACACTGGTGAAGCACCCCCACAAGGTCCAAGGCCTCTGTCTGTACTCAGGCTGCAGGAAGGCTATTCTGGAATGAGGCATGACTGTCAAGCTCATTTTAACTCGCCCACAGCCAAGGGCTCCCTCCGCACGTGGAAAACCCCAATCCTACTTCCATCTCTCCCACCAAGCTGCTGCATATCCCCCCGAGCCACCCCATCCTTTATCCCTATTTCATCCCGATATCCCCACTCACCCAGGATCCCATCTGTATCTTTCCTATTCCACTCCGAAATCGCTTGTAGCCCCTGTATGCCTATCCCACTCCAACCCTCACAAACCTCTCTCACCACATTCCAGCTCTGATTCTACAATCCAATTCCCCTTTGTGTGAGAAAGCCCCAAATTGCCCAGCACTTCCTGTTTTATCTTGCATTTCCCATTGTTGACCCACCCCACGAGAACTGATCCGCAAAGAACTGTCTGCCAGTTTCTGCCACTTCTCTGCAGAATCTGACAGAACCAAAAGATCCCACGGAGCCTAGTATTCTTGATTGAGTGAACACTTACTGCTTTCCCAGCCAGAAGTGCAAATATCTTCAGCCTCTCCTCCTGGATGAAGGGGTCAGCCTTCATCTGGCTCCAGTCAGCAAGTTGCAGGTTTAGCAGCTCTCTGACCTGCTGACCTCCAGCAGCCTGAGCGAGCAGCAGGGCTAGCCTGTGATCCCCTGCAATTCACAAACTTCAGGTCAGCTCCCAGAGAACATCACTTATTGTTCGTCCCTATGTGCCCTGCAGAAGGTGGTGGTGAATTGATTTCTTCAACTGCTGCAGTCTATATGCTGTAGATAGACCCACAATGCCCTTAGGGAGGCAATTCCAGGATTTTGACTCAATGACACTGAAGGAACGATGATATATTTCTAAGTCAGGATGGTGAGTACCTTGGAGAGGAACTTACAGGGGTGGCGTTCCCATGTATCTGCTGCCCATGTCCTTCTAGATGGAGGTGGTTGTTGGTTTGAAAGGGTTCTATTGGAGGATCTTTGGTGAATTTCTGCAATGCATCTTGTAAGTGGTGCATACTGCTGCTACTGAGTATCAGTGGAGGAAGATGTGGATATTTATGGATGCGGTACCAATCAAGAGGGCTGCTTTGTCCTGGATGGGGTCAAGTTTCTTGAGTGCTGTTGGGACTGCACTCATCCAGACAAGTGGGGAGTATTCCATCACACTCCTGACTTGTGCCTTGAAGATGGTGGGACAGACTTTGGGAAGTCAGGACGTGAGTGGATAGTCAGAGACTTTTTCCCAGGGCAGAAATGACTTTTACGAGGGGGCATAATTTTAAGGTGATTGGAGGAAGGTACAGGGGAGATGTCAGAGGTAGGTTCTTCACACAGAGAGAGGTGGGTGTGGGGAATGCACTACCGGCAGTGGTAGTGGAGTCAGATACTTGAGACTTTTAAGCGACTCTTGGATAGGCACATGGAGGATAGTAAAATGTAGGGTATGCAGGGTAGATTGATCTTAGTAGGATAATAGGTCAGCACAACATCGTGGGCCGAAGGGCCTGTACTATGCTGTACTGTTCCATATTCTCTGTATGTTCTATGTTATGCAAAGTTAAGGGATTTGAGCCAAAGGCGGGTGTGGAGTTAGGCCATGGATAAGCCACCATCTTATTGAATGGTGGAACAAGCTCAAGAGTCTGAACAGCCTACTCCTGCAATCCCACTATAATTTTCTACGTACATTTATCATCTCCTTTCTGAAGATTCCAGTACCTTCCATATGACCGATATTAGACTATCACTTCTGTAAACGTAACCAAAACTCGGAAGGAATATGGGGGCGCTGGTGGGTATATGGAGTCAGACTGCAGACAGCCGTAAAAGGTGGAACAGGCTTGTGGGACTAAATAGTCTATCCTCCTGGTCCAACTTTGAACTCCTCCTTGGAGCTGGAAATCAGCTCCGTTGGGGGTTGGTGGTTTTAAAATCCCAGAGCATGTCAACCTCAGCTCACCACACCAACCAAGGCCAGCAACAACTGAAACCACCGGTCAATACTTGAGGCACTATTACCCGACTGCTGTGCAAGTTTGCATGCCTCGCTGATTCTCTTCCCGGTGAGATAGCTGAAGACAGCATCGACGTGACTCTTGTGACAAGACACAGCCACCTCCTCCTCAATCCTCTCCTCCGCAGTCCGAGACAGCCAATGGGAGAATGCTTTCCTGCGCTCCAGCTGCTGGATGTATGGACTTGGCTCAGAAAAGGCAGCTTCCAGCTCCTTTAAGTTACCCCAGATAGCCTCACACAGCGTCCATGCTAACGACCAGCTTCTCACAATACCTGCAACACATTCACATGGTGTCTCTTTTCAGTTAATCCATTTACATGGATTTGCAGACCATCCACCCAGAGAATTAAACATCACACAGTGAGGGAGGTTCTTCTATCAAAACTTCCTCAGTGAATTCAAAACTAAATGTTAAGCTCAGCTTGGCAATAATAAGAACTGCCGATGCTGGAGTAGGAGTCAACTCAGCGTGGAGCTGGAGGAACACAGCAGGTCGGGCAGAATCAGAGGAGCAGGAAAGTCGACTTTTCGGGTCGGGACCCTTCAACAAGGAAACGTCAACATTCCTGCTCCTCTGATGCTGCCTGGCCTGCTGAGTTCCCCCAGCTCCACACTGGGTTAAACTCAGCTTAGTCCCCAGGTACCCCCTTCCCTTCTATCTCCTGATTCTCAGCTATTTTGGGGATGTTGGTTACATCCTCTATAGTGAAGACCTCTAGAATGAATAATTAAAATTAGGATGTGCAAGAGACTGAAATCAGGAGTGCAGAGACCTCAGAGGGTAGTGGGAAAAAGATAGAAAGGGGGAGGCCCTGGACAAATTTAAAAGTGAAGATGGAAACTTAAAAATGGAGGGGAGATTCCACAGTGGTTTCACCCTTCAATTACCTTCTGTCTCTTCACTCCTGTCTTCAACTTCTTGGATCCAAGCTGCATACTCGTGCAGCGCTTCCACCCCCTGCTCAGGTTCAGCAAATGGACAGTCATCCTCTGTACCCACGTGGCTGTGGCGCAGAGCGATCTCCAGCTGCTCCGTATACAGAGACAAATCCTGTCTCACTCCCTCGTCCTTCAACATCACCTTCTCCACATGCACCTTGAAAGGAAGCTCTGAAACACTATAGAATCAAAGCACAGTGACAATTCAAACCTCGGCCCGTGCGTTTCCTCAATATAATGCTATGTTTACTGCAACACTGCCATGTTGGAGAGCACGAGGTTCAAGCCACATACTGATGCCAGCTTCTCCAAGTTGATGCAAGTTACTTTACAAAGTGATTATAGTATCTTATCGACATAAACTACGGGAAGCGAGGGAAGAGACTGCTGCCGTTTTGGCAATTATCTTTCTGTCCTCACTGTCCACTGGAGCAGTTCCAGATGATTGGAGGGTGGCAAATGTCATTCCCTTTTAAGGGAATGAGGGTAATCCTAGGAATTACAGACCAATCAGTCTTACTTCTGTGTTGGGTAAATTATTGGAGAGGATTTGGAGAGATAGTAGTTATGATTATTTGGAAAAGCACAGTTTGATTAGAAATAGTCAGCGTGGCTTTGAGGGGGGCAGGTCATGCCTCAAGCCTTATTGAATTCTTTGAGCATGTGACAAAAAACACTGATGAACATCGAGCAGTGGATGTAGTGTATATGGATTTTAGCAAGGCATTTTATTAGGTTCCCCATGGTAGGCTCATTCAGAAAGTAAGGAGGCATGGGATTCAGGGAAATTTGGCTGTCTGGATACAAAACTGGCTGTCAAATAGAAGACAGAGGGTGGTAGTAGATGGAAAGTATTCAGCCTGGAGCTCGGTGACCGCAGGGATCTGTTCTGGGACCTCTGCTCTTTGTGATCTTTATAAATGACTTGGATGAGGAAGTGGAAGGGTGGGTTAACAAATTTGCCGATGACATGAAGGTTGGAGGAGTTGTGGACAGCGTGGAGGGCTGTTGTAAGTTACAATGGGGCACTGACAGGACGCAGAACTGGGCAAAGAAGTGGCAGATGGAATTCAACCCAGAAAAGTGTGAAGTGATTCATTTTGGAAGGTCAAATTTGAATGCAGAATACAGGGTTAATGGCAGGATTCTTGGCAGTGTGGAGGAAGAGGGATCTTGGGGTCCACGTACACAGATCCCTCAAAGTTGCTACCCAAGTTGATAGGGTTGTTAAGAAGGTGTATGGTATGTTGGCTTTCATTGGTAGGGGAATTGAGTTTAAGGGCTGTGAGGTTATACCGCAGCTCCATAAAATTCTGGTTAGACTACACTTGGAATAGTGTGTTCAGTTCTGGTCGCCTCATTATAAGAAAGATGTGGGAGCTTTAGAGAGGGTGCAGAGGAGATTTACTAGGATGCTGCCTGGACTGGAGGGCAGGTCTTATGAGGAAAGGTTGAGGGAGCTAGGGCTTTATTCATTGGAGCGAAGAAGGATGAGAGGCATAGACAGCCAGGGACATTTCCCCAGGGCAGAAATGACTATTACAAGGGGGCATAATTTTAAGGTGACTGGAGAAAGATATGGGGAGATGTCAGAGGTACGTTCTTTACACAGAGTGGTGGGTGTGTGGAATGCGCTGCTGGCAGTGGTAGTGGAGTCAGATACTTTAGGGACATTTAAGTGACTCTTGGATAGGCACATGGATGACAATAAAATGAAGGGTATGCAGGGTAGTTTGATCTTAGAGTCGGATAGTAGGTCGGCACAACATTGTGGGCCGAAAGGCCTGTACTGTTCTATGTTCTATGAACAAAGTAGGAGAGGACTGCCAGTTGTGAGAAGAAGTCTGTTTGTGTTGTAAATTCTATGCAATATGTAGTGTGGATATTAAGTGATCAGGCACTGTCCTCCCATTCAGAAGACAGTGCCTACTCAAAGGAAGATATGATTAACTGCGCTATGGCACTTTGGTTTGTGTGCAGCCAATTGCAGGCACATAGGAGGAAGTGTAAAGAGATCATGAAAAGGCTTCCCCCTCAACGCCACTCATTCTGTTCTTAGGATTTGGATGATGCTGCCAAACAGTGATGTGTAATCTCTGAATTCATCAAGTGTCAGTCACATTATGGGACAGGAGTCACTTGCTGGCCAAACTGGGTAGAGTTGCAACTTCTCCATACTGATTTTAAATCAATCAACTTTCCACAGTTTTAATTTTCAAACTTTGTAGATGTCAACTGATGAATGACCAGATTCAATGAAATTTCATAACTTAAGATAATTGGAGTTTAACTCTGTTCCTTTGCAGCTAGTCTACATTTTTAGAAAAAAAAGCACTGCAGAGAAACAGAAAGATGTTCTTGGTAGTTGGGAGAGGGAGCATGAGTGTTTTATCACTTACTGAGAACACAAAGAAAAAGAAAGAAAGTGAGCGAGCAAGACAGACAGGCAGGTAATGCACGAGAAACAATCCAGGAAGGGAAGAAATGGTCTCTATTAGGCCTCTTGCCAGTGCTTCCTTGCTGTGCTGTGGGAATGTTGGCCTGGATACTGCGCAGGTGTTTGTGATGAGGCCCTGCAGCCTCTGATTCAGTTCGTGACAAGATGATTAAAGGAGCCGTAGCTAACACTGGGCAGGGCCAGACTCTTGCACTGGTGAAGGGACAATGTCTGGTAGGCAACAGACAGGAACTCTGAGAACTAAGTTCAAACTGTCCTTGGCAGCTATAAGGCAGCCCATACACTACCTTCTCGATCCGTGGCTCATGTGGAGAGGCATTACATGCTTCCCAACTCTTGAGTCTGTGTTAAAGCAGCTAATATCACCATATATAGTTCTTGCTCAACATAAATGACCATCAACAAAAATTACTTGTACAGGGTACAGAGGAGGAAAATGGCCACAGTGATACAGGGGATGAAGGGGTTCATTATTTGGACAGACTGGGTAATCTGGAGTTGCTCCCCAAGCATGGGTAAAGGAAGACTGAACCTTGCTAAAGCTAAGCAAGGCACAAACTACAGTTGGAATGCTGTGAACAGTTTTAGGTTCCTTATCAAAAGGAAAGATAAGGCATTGGGGCAGTCCAGAGAAGGTTCACTGGGTTGACACCAGGTATGAAGGGTGGTAGAGGCTAAACCTGTACAACACTGTAGTAGTATACAGATGTGCACTTGTGATGCTAAGGCATAAAAGGCTATGAGCCAAGTGCTGGAAAATGGGATTAGAACAGTTAGGTGCTTGCTTTTGATCAGCAGAGACACAATGGGCCTTTTTGTGCACTGTAGACCTTGACAACTCTGATGCAGCAAGTGTCAGAAAGCTTCATCTTGACCTTTACTTGATTGTACCTCCTTTACAAGAGACCACGTCAAGTTTTGCCTTTCCTTCTCTGCTTCCACCTTTGCTGTAGACCTTGATAAATCTGATCAGGCAGCACAACTGCTGGCATTTCTGTAGCATCTTGAACATAGTCATACAAACTGACACTAATCAGCTATCAGCTCAAGTGATGGGTTTCAAACGGAGAATCTTCGAGGAGAAGGATAACATTAAGGGAGAAAATTCCAGAGTTTAAAGCCTAGGAAACTGAAGGCACAGCTGCATTTGGCAAAACAAAAGTATTTATTGGGCAGACAAGCAAAACAGATGGAATTGAACGAATGCAAAGCTGTAGGGGTTTTTCGCCCAAAAAAAAAGGCAAGCATGTCATTACTGATTGTACAGCTGGCTACCACAGTTCAAGTGAATATTGAAATTGTTTTGGGGTGGCACAGTGTCCCAGTTAGCACTGCTGCCTCACAGCGCCAGGGACCAGAGTTCTATTCCCGCCTTGGGCGACCGTCTGTGTGGGGTTCGCACATTCTCCCCGTGTTGGCGTGGGTTTCCGGTCTTCTCCCACAGTCTAAAAAGATGTGCGGGTTAGGTGGATTGGCCATACTAAATTGCCTAGTGGTGTTCAGGGGTGTGCAGGCTAGGTGGGATAGCCATGGGAAATGTCGGGTTACAGGGATAGGGAAGGGAGGATGGGATGCTCTTCAGAGCTTAGATGGGCCAAATGGCCTGCTTCCACACTGTAACGATTCTATGATTCTATTATATGACACTTCACACACCCAGATTCACAGCCTAATCTCAGTAATGTACAGTACTCACTGTTTGATCTTTGCTGGTTTTGGAAAGAAGTTACACTCCACATCGCATGGGTCAGTATCACATTCTGTCACATGACTCAGCAGCTCCCCACTGTGGCAGAGTGTGCAGTTGGGTGCCCAGCCCACTCGGAACGAGCGACCAGCAAAAAGGGCCATATCCATCAGAAGCTTCCCTTTGCCGTTGGTAACCGACTGCTCCATTGGCACCAGTCTCTGGTGTCGCCTAATTCCCACAGTCTTCAGCTGCAACTCTGGCAGCTGGGTGGGCACAGTGAACACAGAGGGCAGCTGGCCTGCCACTGGCCAGGGATGATGGGGCGGTGAGCGACGAATCTCCAGAGTGGTCGGAGCGTGGTACTGCCTCGACTCCTGATGGACACTGAAAGGCAGGAGCTTTTTGACAAAGGAGCAATTAAACATACCTCCACCTGGAACAAAGTCAACGAGAAATATTCCGTCTCAGTCACCTTCTGGACAATGATACACACATCAGGGCAATGGTTACAGTGTGGTCCTAACAACCCCAAAGATACAACTTAATTTTTGTTTAGTCATGAAATTTAATAACAACATGAAATGTGCTAGTTTGCCATGAAGTCTTAACTGCTTTACTGTTTTGTTTTTTTTTATAAAATCGATCCATAGTTACAGTATGGGTTCAGTTAAAGCACCCACTACATGGCCCCCATCGTTGAAAGAACTTTTCTGGTGAACCATACCATAAAACCAGGCACCTTGAACAAGAGCAGGGAAAGTCTCTGTCGTTAGTTCTGCTTAATTGTTGGTTGTACAAACTCATCACAAGACCATCACTTACCTGAGCTTTTTGATCTTTCACCATGCCTTAGTAAGATCTGTCGTGGTAATGTTCGCAGGCAATGTTCTTCATTTGTCAAATGTTTAAAGTGCTGATTTTGAATTCTATCTACTTCCTCATCTTCACTAAACAGCGAGGCCTTCATTACCTGGAGAGGCAGAGAAGGGGGAAAAAAAAATCCAGCTTGGATTGTTGATTCTGAGCACCGGTTGAATACCTTCAAAAGTTCCAATTAGTATGCTGGCACAGTGGACTTGTAATCCAAGGAACAGATCTCCAAAGTCCACCAGGGCTGTTTGCAAATTTGACATTTTTATTGAAAAATTAAATAAAAATTTGGGATCATTAAAAGTGGCAATGAGGTGAAGGGTGTGGGGATGTGCTGGGGGTGGAGGGGACAGCATGGGCTGGGGAGGAAGGAAAAGATTGGGTTCTTTTGGGCAATGGGACAATTGGGGGACCACCACTGAGTTATCATCATGTGTCAGAAATGCTGAAGCCAGATCCTGATTCAGCCACGACATGGATTTAAGAATCAGAGTCAGAGGTCAACACCACTGAAAAAGGCCCTTCAGCCCATCAAGTCTACACCAGTCAAAAAACAAGCACCTTGCTATTTGAATCCCATCTCCCAGCACGAGGTCCATAAGCCTTAGCATTGCAAATGTACATCTAAATGCTGTGAGGGTTTCTGCCTTTCCCACTCTTGCAGGCAGTGAGTTCCAGATTCCCACCACCATCTCACATCCCCTTACATTAAATCTATGCCTCCCTGTCACTGATACTTTCAAAGGGAAAAGTTTCTTCCCATCTACATCCTCAATTTTATACGGCATAATCATGACCCCTTTCAGTCTCCTCTGTATCTTCTCCACTGCTATCACATCCTTCCTATAATGTGGTTTCCAGAACTGCACACAATGCTCAAGCTGTGGCCTAACCAACATTTTATACAGTTCCAGCATCACCTTTCGGCTTTAGTAGTTGATGCATAAAGTTTAAGAGCAAAGTATCCCATACACTTTCTGATCCACTTTATCTACCTGTCCTGATACCTTAGGGGATTAGTGTCCACACACACAAGGTCCCCCGATTCTGAGTGCTTCCCAGGGTCCTACCATTCAGCATGTATTCCCCTGCCTTTTCTCCAAGCAATATTACTAGAATCGAAGGAGGAACAAACTTCTTCTGACCTTGCGTAATGACGTAGGAAGGTCATTAAGTGTCAGCCCGCAACCCTGTCCTGGTAGGCAAATTAGTAACAGAGCAGGGAACAGACTCAAGTGGGGTGACAGCCCATGCTACCTTGATACCTGGTCAAAGAGTTCAGCTGTTATCTGCTTCTGCCTGCATAGCTGTACCAGAATCCCCCATGGTTACCACAGCGAAGAATGCCAGGCTCCAGCACTATGTGCCATTCACAAAGAGCTCATTACCTGAAGAGAGTGCGGGTTGATGCCCAAGCTGGATGCGATGTTACTGGAGGCCGACACAGGGTCCTGGTCCTCACTGATGTCCTCATCCAGGAAACTGTCCGGCATGGGCTCTTGGGTGATGTCAGCCATGTCACTATCAAGCTCGTTCACACGCCCCACCTGCTGCATCAATGGGCTCTATTGGAAAGTTCAGCTCTGTTAGATCACCGAGAACAGTACTGGTTCACAGTGCAGGCTCAATGAGTAGATTATTAAGCACAGCAAAGATGTGCGCTATTCAATGTCCAAAGATTGAGGAAGCTAACAATTAGAGGTTTAATCATGCATTTTTTACAAGAAAAAATATTTCCTGTAACTTGATGGGTCACTCCACATTTGCACGAGTTCCCTTCACAACCTTTCAAAGTGCTTACATATCAAAATGCTCGCAAATGTCACAAACAATGAAAGATCCCCATATTGAGAAATGCAAAAACCATTAACTACTTTGTCAATAATATTGGTTATTGGATAAACATAGGCCCCACACATTCGAGAGGTGTCCCCATACCCCACTTTGGATAGCACCCTCTGACCCATACAGGCAGATGGGAAAATCAAACAGAGCCTTAGTCTAACTCACTCAAGCAGTGCATTGTGCCGAAAAGTCAGCCCTGCAGGCTCAGGTCTCTGCAGTGGGACTTGAACCCACAACTTTATGACTTGAAAGGCCAGTGCACTAACCACCAAGCAATGGCTGATGGCTGAAGCACAGCTTTTTATTGCCTGGACTGTCATAATCCACACTGTATTGTTGAACTTGCATTCCTCAAATTGAGAATCTAACACAGGTGGTGTTTAAAACAACACCGGAATCTAATGATGTCTCATTCTCCACCCCACTTCCTTAAAATCATAAATGTGGCTTCTCTTCAATGGTGGCAGGAGGGTGTCAATTGGAACTTTTAAAATGAGATTGCTGGAAGTCTGCTTGGTTGGGGTATCCATAGAGCAAAGAAAGGTCAACGTAGTTGCGAAGATGATCAGGTATGGGCTAGTTGAATGGGACAACATAGCAGACCAACAATGCTATTGTGGAGAGAAAGCTGGTGCTGGGAAGGAGGTGCACTTAGATGGGGATTTACCTCCAGCTGCAGAGTGGTGACTGGTTTGCAGACCTGTGCTGCCTGATCAGGAAGAGCCGCTGTTTTCATCTTCTTTGTTTCAGCTTTTGAAGGCAGCTCACTATCCTCCTCATCTGAATCCTGGAGCCCATACTTGGAGAAATGTGTTACCTGCAATGGGAAAATGCAGCAATCAAACGGTTAGCTCCAAGTGATGTAGCCTGAAGGCTGCCTCTGTCACTATGTAACAGCAGTCACTGGGAGATTCCAGTTTATGGCCATAGCAAGACTGAACTGCATGTCTGTAGTGCACTTAAAAGCCATGGCATCTCTGACTGCCAATCACAATTTCATAAGTGCAGTCACTGTTCCAATGTAGGAAACAGTGTAATGTACTCAGCATGGCAGCACGGAATACCCTTTACCCGAGGGTCAGTTGTGAGAAAACATACAATCGCAGAGATGGAACGCTTTCTCTGACACTGTGAATGTTGGGTAGAGAGCACCCCGTTCCACCAAGCCCTATGCTGCCTCAAACAATTTGTGCATTTTTGGGGGGAGGCAATGCAAAGTGGGCTATGTCGGTGAAGCGTCAGTAATCCAGAACACATGAAATTCCAGATTAAACAGCAGTGCAATGGGCTGTGTCTAATATTAAAGTTATACAAACAGTTTTTGGAGCAATGAAGGCTGTTATTAATTGGAGAATATCTGGGGCTTCAGAGTGCCATTTTACCTTTCCAGCTATTTAGGTCTCTCCGCCAGGTTTGTACCATAGACCAACCTACTCTACAAAAGCCAGTGAGATGGGAGAAAGGGATCAAGGGCAATAACAAAGGAAAGCTGGCACAAGGGCAAGGAGTGAGGAATTTTTAATTGAAACTCCTGCAGACAGCTGAAAACTAAAATATTCTCAGTTTGTAGCCTTAGTGAGATTCAAACCTGCTCCTGATTCAGTTCAACATGTGAACATGCTGACATTAGACTCACTGAGGCTCTCTCCGTGGTAGAGAGAAGAAAGAACCGAGGACAAAATGCAACAAGGTCAATACTTGCCTCAAAGACCCAGGAACCAGTCTCGGACCTATACTCCAGGAAGCGAGCGCCCTGCTTGCGCGATGAACTCTCCAGTCTCTCCTCAAAACCCATCTCCATCAGGCGTTCAGGTGACTTGATCAGACAGCGAGTGGTCTTGTCAGTAGGCCAGACTCCATCCAACGTTACCTCAGCTCGTCTTTGCAAAGAGAGAGGCAGTGGAGGAGCGGGTGGGAGAAGAGCGAGCATTTATAGTTATTATAGTGTTTGTCATGAAGCCCCTTTACAGCCAATGAAGTATGTTTAAATTGTAGTATTGCAAGATGAATAGTTCAAACACAAAGCATGGCTTTTGGCTAATGGAACCCATGTAACTTCACCCCAACAAAAGGCATCATTTGTAGAGAAAATTTCCTAAATTAATACTGAGAATATGGAACATCAGTTCCTATGGAGAAAGTGGAAGAACTGGGATTGTTCTCCTTATAGCAGAGGTGGTTAGGGGAGCTTTAATAGGAATGCAGAATTATGAAGGATTTCTCCCTTGCTATTATTTCCACTGGTGTGATGGGTAGTAACCAGTCGACAATTTTAGATGTATGATAAAACAGCCAAGGAAAACACTTTGTCACAAAACAGTTTTAGGATCTGGAACATGTTGGCTGAAAAGGTCAGTGGAAGCAAATTCAATGGAAAATTTCAAAAGGGACATGGATAAATACTTATCAGGCATTTTTCAGGCTGTTTGGAACAGGCACGTGAATAGGGGTATTGGGTAAGCTGTTACAAAAGAGCCAGCACAGGTACAATGGGCCAAATAGCCCCTTTCTGTTCTGTGTCACGGAACCTGGTGAGGCAGTCAAACAAGGAAAGAAATCAAAGGTTCAGGTGGAGGAGTTGGATTAAGTGAACATTGCAGACAACAGAAGAACACAAAACAGTGATTAAAATACATATACAAGGGCAATGAATATAAAAAAAAGCAAGGAAATCTTAAAATTAGGTCACAGTTCGAGCATCACATGCCTCTCTGGGCATCCTGCTGTAGAAATCCTATTGAGGACTAAAAGACAAGAAAAGGGAGCAGAGATCATTCAACAGCATCAGATCAGGAAGAAAGGAATAGGATTAAGAAGAAAGGATTAAGGAACGGGGAAAAGAAAGTCAAAGTTTAGCAAAGAGGTTAAGCAAACTGCTTGGCAAGTCAGTAACTGGGGACAGGTTAAATGCTGTTTCTACTTATACGATGCCTTTAACATGATAAAGTGTCCTGGGGGTTTAAAATTGACACTAAGCCACATTAGAAGATGAGGTCAGATGACTAAATACTAGGTTAAAATGTTCAGATTTAAGGAGTGTCTGAAAGACAGACAGATACCAGGAAGGTGAGCGGGGTGGGGGTGGGGATGGGGGAAAGAAGCTGAAGATTCGTTGCCAATTGTGGAGTGATTATGACTGGGTTTACAAAAGACCAGAATTACAACAGCACAGATATCATGGAAAGATGTACAGCTGGAAGAGGTTACAGACATAGCAAGGGTTGGGTTATGGAGAAATTTGAAAATAAGGTTGAAAACTGAACTGAAGTAGTGTTAAAATGTCAACTTTGTCTCTCTACAGATGCTGCTCGACCTGCTGGGTTTCTGCAGCATTCTGTTTTTGTTCCAAATTTCCAGCATCCACAATTGTCTTTAATTTGCTGAAATTGAAATGATGATATTGTTTGGCCGGGAGACGATGCAGCTTGAGACGAGTGCTGTTAGGGAATGGTACAAGTTAGGAAATGGACAGCAAGCTTTTGGAAGACCTCAAGTTTATGAAGAGTAGCACGACAGAGCCAGTGGCACATTGGACTGATCAAGCAGAGAGGCAACAAAGGCTTGAGAGATGTTCAGATGAGCTGCGTCAGGGTGAAATCAGGCAATGCCATGGATTTGGAAACAGGCAGTCTGGATGATGGTGTGGATAGTTTACTGGAAACTTATCTCGAGATTAAATAGGACCCTCAGGTTGCAAACAGTCTGGTTTAATCTCAGACTGTTGCCAGGAAGGGAAAGAAAAGTCATTAACTCAGGAACACAGCTTGGAGTGGGGATCAAAAACAAAGGGTTTAATCTTCCCAATATTTAATTGAAAATTATTTCTGTTACATCTGTACTGGATGAAGATAAGCAGTCAGAAAATTTAACAACAGCGGAGGAGCCAAGAGAAATGGTGGGGAGGTACAGCTGGATGTCATCAGCAAATGTGAAGACTAACACGTCATCTTTTGATGATGTCCCCAAGGAGGTGATCAGAATTAGGAGGGATTGATTCTGGAGAACAGCAGGAATAATGGTGCAAGAACAGGAACAGGAAAGTATTGAAAACAATTGTTTGGCTACAATTAGACAGATAAAAATGGACTAGGTGAATGTAATCCCCATTCAGCTGGACAATAATGCAGGGATGCTGGAAGAGGATAGTGTGATCCCTGCATCAAAAGATGCAGAGAAGTTGGAAAGCACAAGAAAGGACCATTGATCTTTATCTCAAAAGAGCTGCTTTGATAGTTAACTTTTTTTAATATTCAAGTAGAGGGCATTGCTGGTTTTATTGGCCATCTCTAACTGCCCAGAGTACAGTTAAGAGTCAACCACATTGCTGTGGGTCCAGAGTCATATGGTGACCAGACAGGTAAGGATGTCAGTTTCCTTCCCAAAGGACATTAGTGAAGCAGATGGGGTTTTCCAACAATTAGCAATGGTTTCATGGTCATCACTGCACTCTTATTTACAGACTTTTATTGAATTCAAATTCCACCATCTGTCATGGCGGGTTTCAAAGCTGGTTCCACAGAACATTACCTGGGTCTCTAGACTAACACTCCATCAATAACACCACTAGGCTGTCACATCCCAACTGTCACTGACGATGGTAACCTGACTACAGGGATTCAAACGTGGACTTCTGGGATTGGGAATCGGGTGGACGTTTTGGGTGAAACCACTCTACGTTCACTCGGGCATCAATTGATCTTGGGACCACTGTGCAGCTGCAATGCTGAGAATGGAATATAGCACTTCTGCTGGGACCTCACTCAAACTTCAGACAATTTGTGTCCTTGTGAATTTCAAACACCCGCATGCCCCAAGGTTTGGACAACCTTTGATCACATTAGCATTGCATGCGTCACTCCCAATGCAGCCATTCTGATTTGTACCTGTTCAGGCCCTCACCCACTGGGGGCTTTTTCTCATCATCCAGGTAGACGATCACCTCCTTCCTGCGGACATGCACAATCTCATCCAAATTCATGTTGGTGAGATTCACAACGCCAGGGAAGTATATAGAACCGTAACCTGGGTTTTAAAATAAGCAGGTTAACAGCAAATATCTGGCACGCACCACCCTGAGACCATGCTCCCTTATTACCCCACCAGATAGCCTCCTCTCACCCTGCCCTCCTCTTTAATCCCTTACACCTTGCAGAAAGGTTACATTTTACACTCCTGGTAAACAGATTTTACCAGCTTTCCCAAAACTGAAAAACACAGTGAACAAGTTTGCAAAGAAAGGGGAAGTGACTGAATAACAGTTCATTACAATCGGATCTGTATTTTGGTTCATTCCGTAGAACGGGTGTGTCACTGGCAAAGCATGCACTTACTGTTCATCCCTAGCCATCTTTGACAGGTATTGGTGAGTTGTCTTCATCATAAGACATAAGATCATAATTAGGTCATTTGGCCCATCAAGTCTGTCCTGCTTGATATGTGCCTGATGTTTCTCAACCCCATCCTCCTGCCTTCTCCCCTTACTAGTCAAAAACCCAGCTTGGTCTTAAATACAGTGACCTGGCCTCCACAGCAGTGAGTTCCACAGGTTAACCACAGTCTGCGTGAAGAAATTCCTTAATCTAAAAGGGGTGTCCTTTCACTGAGGCGGAGCCTTCTGGTCCTAATCTCTCCTACTGGTGGAAACATTTACTCCACATGCACTCTATCCAGGCCTCTCAGTATTCTGTAAGTTTCAATCAGATCCCCCTCTCAATCTTCTAAACTCCATCAAGCATAGACTCAAGAGTCCTCAACTACTCCTCAAATAAGCCATTGATTGACAGGATCATTCTCTTAAACCTCCTCAGGACCCCCTCCATATAGAGTCCGAAACTGCTTTCAATATTCCAAATGTAGTCTGACCAAAGCTTTTAACAGCCTCAATAATACACCTCTTCCCTTGTATTCTAGCCTTCTTGAAATCAATGCTAACACCGCATTTGCCTTCCTAACGGCCAACTAAACCTGCATGATAACCCTAACAGAATCCTGAACTGGGACTCCAGTCACTGTGCTTCAGATTTCTGAAGCCTTTCTCCATTTAGAAAATAGCTTACACATCTATTCTTCCTACCAAAGTGCATAAACTCACATCTTCCCACACTGTATTCCATCTGCCACTCCTTTGCCCACTCTCCCACCCTAAACAAGTCTTTCTGCAGCCTCCCCACTTCCTCAACACTATCTGTCCCTCAACCTATCATTGTGTTATCTGCAAACTTAGCAACAATGCCCTCAGTTCCTTCGCCCAGATCTTTATATACAATGTGAATAGTTGGGGTCCCATAATGGACCCCTTCACAAGTCCACTAGTCACTGGCTGCCATCTCAAAAAAGACCCCTTGTCCTTACTCTCTGCTTTCTGCTAGTCTGCCAATCCTCTAGCCATGCCAGTACCCTGGCCCTTAACAGCATGGGCTCTTATCTTATTTAGGAGTCTCCTATGCAGCACCTTGTTGTGCCTTCTGGCAATCCAAACAAATCACGTACAAACAAATCTCGTTATCTCCTCAAAGAATTCTAACAGATTTGTCAGGCGTGACCTCCCCTTGATGAAGCCGTGCTGACTCTGCCCTATTTTGTCATCCACTTCCAAGTGCACTGCAATCCCATTCTTAAAAAATGAACTCTAAAATCTTACTAACAACTGAGATCAGGCGAGCAGGGCTATAGTTTGTCTTCTGACTCCCTCCCTTCTCAAGCAGGGGTGTTACACCAGCCATTTGAGTCCTTTAGCAATCACTAGAGTCAAGGAGGGTGCTATAAAAAAAAAATCACAGCCAAAGCCGCCACAATTTCCATAATTGTCTCCTTCAGAACTCTAGGGCGTAGTCCATCCGGTCCAGGTGATTTATCCACCTTCAGACCTTTCAGCTTCCCCAGTACCTTCTCCTCAGTGATAGCTGCTACACCCATCTCTATGCCTTGACTCTCTTGAAGTTCTGGCAATGCTTTTTTCTGCTGTGAAAACTGATACAAAGTACCTGCCTATTCAGCTCCTGTGCCATTTCTTTGTTCCCCATTACTGCCTCTCCAGCCTCATTTTCCAGTGGTCCAATATCCACTCTTGCCTCCCACCATTTAGGTATCTAAAAAAAATTTACAATCTTCTTTTTTATTGCTAGGTAGCTTACTCTCATTTCATTTTCTCCCCCCTTATTACTTTTCCAGTTGTCCACTGGAATTTTTAAATGCTTCCCAACCCTTTGGCTTCCCACTAATCTTTAATGCAACATACGCCTTTTCTTTTGCTTTTATGCTGTCCCTGACTTTCCTTGGTTTCTGCATCCTCCCCTTGGTATCTTTCTTTTTCCTTGGGATGGATTTCTGCTGTACCTCCTGAATTACCCCAAGAAACTCTTACCATTGCTGCTCCACGGTCTTCCCTGCTAGACTCCTCTTCCAATCACCGCTGTCCAGTTCCTCCCTCATTTCTTTGTAGTTCCCTTTACTCAATTGTAATATCATTACATCTGATCCCTGCTTCTCCCTCTCAAACTGGAGGGTGAGTCTTAGAGACCTGACATTACTTGCATGACATTACTTGTCACTTATCGGCCCATCTAGATGTTATGCAGGTTTTGCTGCCTGCCCATTAAAAGGTATTAGACTCTGTGCAGACTATTAACAGCCTCAATTTGCCAAGTCACCCTCACCCCAGTTGTATCACTTGTTGAGCACTCACCTTTGCGGCCAATGGTAAAGTTCTCCACGATACATTCTCCGTTCTCATTCACTTGTTGGGCCAGTTCGTCCATGGAAGGGATGGTGTAGTAACCGACTCGAGTCAGCACTATGCCTAAAACAGATTGCACTCCAACGTCAGTGCAGTTTGGATAAATACAACAAAAAAGCAAGCATTGTATCATATCATCAGGGCTACAGGGGAAAAACAAACACCTGGACTAGCACTAATCACAAGTAGGCTCACAGAATCCCAGGTTAGCTATGATTTGCGTGGCCGTGGGGAGTCTGAATTCCATGTTTACTTAGGTTTTCTGAGGCTGCAGCCAATGTCCTACTATTTGAAGGGTTGTACTAAGTTGTACTTCAGCCCCACACTCTGACCTTTGGCCATGTGGGGCGAAAGTACATTAGAAACCTTCCTCATTAGGCTGCTACTGGCCCTGCCTAAAGTTGTAATTGACACATCCAGGCTGCTGAGTGGGTCACATCGTCCAACTGCCTGCCCCACTTTCGCGGTTATGAAAGGGCCCATTCAGTCCACTTTCTCTCCTTCAGCTGAAGGAAGAAGTCACCTATTCTAACCCCATCTTCCAGCATATAGGTCATACCTTGCAGGTTAAAAGCCTTCAGGTGTGAATGAGCGGAGGGCTTCTGCCTCAACCTCCAAACTGGGCAATGAAGTCTCGATTTTTCTCAAGTCACCTTTAAGCTATCAACCACCTTAAACCTGGGCCCCTGACCATTGGTCTCTCTGCTTAGAAGAAATCCATCTCTACTGTGCATCCACCCAAGCCACTCAATTTTAAACACCTTTAAGTCACCCTTCAGCTTCCCCTATACTAAAGAAAACAAAACAATCTTATCTTTCTTCACAGCTATCATTTCACAGCCCTGGTGACACTGTTGTAAATCCCCTCTGTACTCTCCAGAACAATTACATTCTTGTTATAAAGGTGGTGCCTAGAACAGTCACAAAACTCCAATCTTGGTCTAACCAATGTGTCTGAAGGTTCCAGCATTGCATGCCTCTTGGGTATTCAACACCTTGTCCAGTGAAGGAAAGCATCCTGTATGTCTTTCTAAATACCTTATCCACCTATCCAAGCACCTTCACAGCTGTGGAGGTCTGCCCCCAGAGGAGGTATGCAGTGGTTATTGGTGGGTTTGAGCTGCTTGCTACATGTCCAGTGGGTGTCACAGGACTGGAAATCTTTAGCAGTCCCCAAGACAGGTGCTAATTTTGATAAATTTCCTTTGTTTTTTGTTACAGTGCCCTTAAGGGGTTAATCATTTGATGACTGCTACAAACAGTACTAAGCCCCTTATTGAAACAGTGTCTAAATTCTGAATCCAATACAATCCTTCATCAGGTGGCCTTCTGGAGACAAACTGGAGTTGATCGCCAGTTCACAGCTAAATTTAACATTAGCCATATTACACACAGGACAGATAGAGCAAAAACAACTTTCAAAACAAAAATTAGTGAGACTTTTTTTTATTACAACGGTCTAATAACACTATTACTTAATGCCAGATCCCTCTCGTTAAATGAATTCCTTTTACAAACTGCCATGTTGAGATTTCAAATCCCAATTTTTGATTATCAGACCAGGTTTCTGTAATACTAGGCCGGTAACATAACCACTGTTCTAGCTAGGGCTCAAAACCAGCCAGGGGAAATTTAACATCTGGTCAAGACAACAGACAAATGGGATCAAAGGTTATGGGGAGAAAGCAGGATTAGGCTATCGAATTAGACGATCAGCCACGATTGTGACGAATGGTGGAGCAGGCTCGAAGGGCCGAATGGCCTCCTCCTACCCCTATCTTCTACGTTTCCTGCCTTTTCCCTATAACCCTTGATACCTTTTCTAAGGAAAAAAAAAAGTCTCTCTATCTCCAACCTGAATATACTTAATGACACATATCACACTATTGTGGAGACTAATTCCACAGCATGGTCAGTGTACTGGCTCAGCAGTTAGCACTGCTGCCTCACAGCACCAGGGATGGGTTTGATTCCAGACTCAGGCAATTGTCTGTGTGCAGTTTGCACATTCTCTCTGTATCTACATGGGTTTCTGCGGGGTGCTTCGGTTTCCCCCACAGTCCAAAGATGTGCAGGTTAGGTGGACTGGACATGCTAAATTCCCCATTGTGTCCAGGGATATGCAAGCTAGGTGGGTTAGCCATGGGAAGTATGGTTTTATGGGGATAGGATTGAGGATGTGGGGCTCTCGGGATGCTCTTGAGGGTTGGTGCAGACTTGATGGGCTGAATGGCCTCTTTTCATGCTGTATGGATCCTACGATTTTTCTATACAAGATTCACTACCCTTGGAAGTTCATAATAACAGAGAGCAGCTCGAACCCCTTCACAAATTCTTCATCTCTATCTTAACAGGGCAATCCTTACTAAAAGAATCCCTAGTGTGGAAACAGGCCATTTAGCCCTACTGCACCCACACTGGACCCATCTCCCTACCCTATCCTTGTAACCCTGCATTTCCCATGGCTACTCTACCTAGCATGCACATCCCCAAGCACTATGGGCAACTTAGCACTGTCAATCCAAGGACTGTGGGAGGAAACCAGAGCACCCAGAGAAAACCCACGCAGAGAACACACAAACTGCACACCCGAAGGTGGCATCGAACCTGGGTTCCTGGTGGTGAGGCAGCACTGCTAATCCACTGTGCCACCCCATCCTAGACTCTCCCATTAATAGAGTCTCATCAACATTTACCCTGCCATTCCCCCTAAGAATCTTATACGTTTAAAAGCAAATGTCACAAGCAAATTCCTAGATCTAATTGCAAATACTAGCTAGACAACTATAAAAGATAACTCCTTAGCCTACAGTGGGGCTCACCTGCTGGATGAGGCGGCAAATTATCATTGATCTCAGACTCCCTCTCCTCATTCAGGGACCCATCGATGTAGCATGGATCTTCACTGGTCCCTTCCAATGTGCCATTTCGCAGGTTGTTCCTTAAGTTCATCTCAGTGATGGTATCATCCATGGCAGAGTTCTGGTGTCTATTGCTGTTTACTCCCTCGGGTGTCTGTGGGATTGGTTTGACTATGGTGTTGGTGTAGCATTTATTCACCTGCTGGTCATCATCCTCTCTCTCCAACCTGCATTCTGGCTCACTGTGAGGAGGAACCAAGACACTAATTAATTGCAGCATTCATTTATGACAAAGATGGAGATTGTAGACAGCACACAAAGGGGTCTTGATATCAGGAATGGCTCCAGAGGTTTTTCTGAATGAAATTTGAGATTCAGATTGAGAAATCAACAAGAAAAAGTCTTGACTTACTGGACATCTCTATTCCAATTACCCAGCACATGTATAATTCCATGGTGAAGCTGACATTGTGCTCTCCACGAAAAGTACAGCTAGGTGTCAGAGGTGAGATGATGGGAGATAGGGTGAGAGGCTGGCGAAGGAAGAAAAGAATTCACAATAGCAACTGAGAAGGGGAGTTAAATAAATGCTTGAGAAAGGAAAAGTTTGCAGGATTATGGGAAAAGAGCAGCGAAGTGGCATTGATTGTACAAGTATTTCCAAACATTTGGAAAAGTATAGTCCACTATTCTATAATTCCTCCCACTCTTCTCATTAGTTGAATATAAATGGAAGGCTATTTTGCAGGACCACGCTTGGTAGTTTGGGTGACTTTAACCTTCATATAGATTGAGAAAATCAAACTGACCGAGATAGCCACGTGAAGAAATCCAGAGTACATTTTTTGCTACTTATAGGATGTGGGTGTTGCTGGTTGGGCCAGAATTTGTTCCCACCCACAAGTGCCTTTGAGAAGGTGGCACTGAGTTGCTTTCTTGAACCATTGCAGTCCATTTACTATAGCTAGACCCACAATGCTGTAATGGAAGGAATGCCAGGATCTTGTATTAGTTTCATTACAGGACTGATTACTAACAGAAGACAAAGTTAGATATGGGGAGAATTTTCAAAATAGCAACCTTTTAGTAGTTGAGTACCAGTGGGATCAGTGTTAGGGTCACAATTATTTACAATATAAATTAATGTCTTGGACGAGGAAAGAAAATGTATTGTGGCCAAGTTTGCAGATGAAATAAAAACAGGCAGGAAGGCAAGTGATGAGGAAGACATGAGGCGTCTTCAAAGGGATACAGACAGGTTAAGCGACTAGGTAAAGACTTGGCAGATGAAATATAAAGTGGGAAAAATGCGAGATTATGTACTCTGGCAGAAAGAATACAAGAGCATTTTTTTTGAAATGGAGAAAGACTGCAGAAAGCTACACCACAGACAGTTTTGAGGTCCTCATGTATAAATCATTAAAAGCTAGTATCCAAGTTCAGCAGGTAATAGGGAAGGCAAATGGAATGTTGGCCTTGATTTCAAAAGGAAGAGAGTATAAAATTAGGCAAAATGTTGCTAAAACTATAAGACACTAGTGAGACCACACCTAGAATACTGTGATCAGCTTGGGTCCCCTTATCCAAGGGAAGATGCACTTCTATTGGAAGCAGTCCTGAGAAGGTTCACTAGACTGATACCAGGCACGAAAGGATTGTCTTACGAGTTGAGGTTATGAGCACAAGTAGGCCACACAGCCCTCTGAGTCTGCTCTGCCATTCTATAATATCACGGCAGATCAGATTTTTACCTCAACTCCACATTCTTGCATATTGCTGATAATCTTTCATAATCAAGAATATATACCTCTTCTTTAAAAATTCGGCATTCACTACCTTTTGAGGAGTGGAATTCCAAACAAACAGTCTCAATCCTCAGACAGAAAGAGATGGAGTAAGTCGAGTCTGTACTCAAAATTTAGAAGGATGAGAGGCGACCTTATAAAAACATACAAGATATTTAGGGGCTTGATAGAGTAGATGCAGAAAGATTGTTTCCCCTTGTGGGAGACTCTAGGGGCAGAGGACATCACTCAGAACAAAAAGCCTTTGTCTCAGAGGGTTGTGTATCTGTGGAATTCTTTACTGCAGAGGGCAGTCAAGACTGGGTCATTAAGCATGTTTAAGACTGACAGACTGATTTTTAATCAGTAGGGGAATTGAATGGAGATCAGGATTATCAGATCTTCCATCATCTCTTCGAATGGCAGAGCAGACTAGATGGGCTGAATGGCCTACGTCTGCACCTGTGTCTTATGATCTTATTGTACTCACTTCTCTCCATTCTCTGGATAGTCTGATGGTGAGGCCAGGTCGTTTGGTTCCTTGCAGAGTACAGGTGAGCCCAAAGTAGAGTTATTCATGCTCTTCAGTACCAGTTTCTTGATGCTCTTCCTGCGAAGGATAGTTTGGTCAAATAGGATTAAATGGTTAATAGGTATGGTAGTATAGTTAAATTATCAATAATCCAGAGACAACAGTTCAAATCCCAAATTTAAATATAACTAAAATTAAATCTAAAGAACTAGTCTCATAATTACTCAAAAACTAATCCCACTGCCCTACTGTGTCCCCCATAGCCATGCATCAATCCCAACTGACCCTTTTACACTGGACTCTGTCCGAAAAACTCCATCTTTCACTGATTATTTGCTTGATATTCCAGACCGCTACCTCATGTATTCCATACTCAAATCATGTGAAGAAATCTCCAAATTTTGCAAGAACACAAAAATAAGTGGGAGGGTTGTGATGAGGATGTAAAGAATCTGGAAGGGAATATTAGTAAAGCTGAGTGATTGGGCAAAAAAATTGGCAGATGGAGTTTAATACAGGAAATTGTGGTCATGCATTTTGACAGGAAGAATTAAAAGGCAGGCTATTATTTAAATGGAGATACTGGAAAAAGGAATGTAGTATAGAGGGAACTGAGCGTTCTTGGAAAATGCGGGGGTTGTCGGTGGTGGAGGTCGCCACACTGTTAATCCAGAGACCCAGGTAACTTTCTGGGAACTTGGGTTTGAATCCCTCCGTGGCAGATGGTGGAATCTGAATTCAATAAAAATCTGAATGAAGAATCGAATGATGAACATGAAACCATTGTCAATTATCAGGAAGTAATGTTCCTCAGGGAGGGAAACTGCCATCCCTACCCAGTCTGGCCTACATGTGACTCCAGACCTACAGCTATGTGTTTGAATCTTAACTACCCTCTGGGCAATTAGGGACGACCAGTAATGATGGCACAGCCAGAGATGCCTACATCCCATGAATGAATTAAAAAAAAAAGTTAGATCAACCTGAATACCCACTACACAGAAATCTCCTTCAAACCTGTGCAGATTTAAACTTTGTTTAGCCTTTACTGTTCCAGAGGCGATTGTCCCCATATCGCAATGCTCTTTATCTATAACTGGAAATTCCCTTCAAATTATCACGATAAATCTATGCCATCCGCACTCTGCAATTTTAAATGTATTTTCTTTGCTAGGGTGTCCAAAAACTGCACACTGGTCTAATTGGCTTTTCAAAACATGTATTACTGTTAATATTCTCAAACCTTCTTTTATAAAATTGACACTGTTGCTAGTTTTAAAAATCTTCACACAACCACCCTGTTTAGGTAAACTGTGTTTCTTGCATATCCTTTAGCATTTTTTTGCCAAGTCTATATAAAATTGCTTTCTCCTCCTCCCAAATTCCACTGTCCCATCTCAAACTTACCCATATTAAGCTGTATCCACTACCTCTCCGTTAACCTGTCTGGCTTTTGGAAGTATTTAACTTTCAGTAAAGTGAAATACCTTAAATACTGTTGAGAACACAAAAATACTTGCAGATTATGAGTAAAGGATAATTGAAAATTAGAACGCGGCCAGGATTGCAAGCGATTTACAATGAGACTTTCTGGAAGAGGTCTGCTGTCTGCTTTAGAAGAAAATTTCAAAAGATAGATGAAGATTATTTTATAAACTTAACTGCCTCTCAAATAGACTGAACTTTGGAAAGGACCTAGTGATGAAGGCTGCCTAGCAACAGCCTCTGGACTTTTGGTTTGTTTTGCCACAGACTGGAGAGTTGTTACAAGAAAACAGTGTTTTCTCACTGAGTAACAATATACACTTTTAGGAAAGTTAAAGAAATATTCGAGAAGTATTTCCTGAGAATCAGAGAAAGTTCTAGAAATCAATGTTTCCAATGTCCTCAAACTGACTGCTGAACTCATTAAGTCCTGTGTCGAAGTGGCCTGCTACCCGAACCAAGTGTCTTCCAACAATCAGTGACTGACAGCAACGTGATCCCTTTAACAATACTGACAAAGTCACCTTATTTTACCTTATTAGTTTGGAATTCAAATTAACAGGTTTTCCCAATTTTTTTCACTCAATTGCTCTGCTGCATTGTGTCTCATCCTGCATTAATGTATTTGGATTTGGATTTGGAGAGATATTGTTTAATCCTGATTTACAGCTTAGCTGATAACCAATTTGGCCACAAGTACAAGTTTGTTTCTAGTAAACAAGTTTATTTTTCAATTTATTGAAGAAACCTGGTATAAGTCTCTTACTTAAAAAACACATTGATCACTGAAGTGATCAAGTAAGACTTTTATACTGCCACAACAGCCATTTGCTAATTCCTTTCTCAGCAACATCCTGACCAGAGTCAGAGTCAACCTGCTTGGTTTAAAACTTAAAGCTTGGCAGATAATGGTCAATCAGCATTACTGGATGCATTTTCCACTGTAATGCACTGGCCAAAGAACTTTCCTTTCATGCAGTGTAACTATAAATCATTACAAAATGCCCTGGCAAGGGAAGTCAAAAAATTCTAGTAAAATGTCTTTTTTTAAGCAATACTAAGTGACAGGATTCTTTGAAAAGTTGAGAGCGAGAAGGAGAGAGGGGTAGACAGATAAAGTACGACAAAGAGGGAGGGGTAGGCAAGGGGAAAGCCAGAGCGAGAGCAGCATTGCAAGGTTTAAAGTAGTGTTTACCTGGGCAGGAAGGTGCCATTCGATAGAGATGTAGGTTCATCATCATCCAGTCCATCGAAGAGCTGAGACTTGGAGGACCCAGTGGCTTGCAGAGCTTTTGGCCGTACTCTGGTAGCAGGGCGGGGAGTCAGCTTGTAGTGGGTGGGGGTAGTCAGTGCCTTCTGCGCTGCTGGATTTGTGGGCTTCAATCGCTGCAATTTGGAAAGCAATGAATTTGAAAGCACTGGACCAGGTGGTTTCAATTTGACCCTGCTAGCTTGTTCTACCTTTGAGCTCGCCCATGCCAGATTGGTACCTCACACCATCATTTAGTTGTTGTAATTCCACGTCCTACTTCAGAAGACATCAATTTCAGCCTCTTGTTGCTCTCAGTTTGGTAATGCTGTGATTTTAAAACTGTCATGCCTCACAGGGACGGCACATTGGAAATCAAGCCCCACTAATCCCAGTGTCATTGCAAAAATCAAAGATTTTGTTTTTATAAAAATTACACAATTTCTCAATTCACCCAATTTTCAGACCGAAGCAAAGAACAGGTTTTTGTACCTAATCAGATTACTATTGCCAGTAAACAGGCTCTAGCTACAGTAAATAGTTATGAGCCATCCAGTAGTCAAAATTCTTAAGAACTCCTTATAAACTCTACACACACACACAGGCAAGGAAAAAAAAAATCTGGGTGTTATGGGCAGGGGGAGAAGTCTGGAAGGGAGTTCAGTTGAGCTTGTTCACATGAGCTGCTGAGATGGTACTTATACTGATCAGACCACTGCTTCTCCATCTTCCTTTTTCACATGCTCTCTCTTGAAGGCACAATGTGATGTAAACAGTCTCTGACTCATTAATAAGTCACAGTTTACTGGTCAAGCTGATTTTCTTCAGGCTTAAAAAGTGTATTTTGTAGCAGAGAGCTCCTGAGCTGGTGGTGTTCTGAGGTTTCTCTGTACCTTGTTCAGACCCCAAGCTCTTCAGCTACCTGCAAGCCAATCACAGTTGTTGACAAGCAGAAGGCCTTTATCATCAATAACTGGTCACTAGTCCACAGACAAATCAGCTACTTATTGCTGCCTGGATGTCCATTTGTGCACAGCCCCCTTGGCTCCAACTCACCCATAAACCATCTAGTTCTAAAACAGTTCTTTTTCCCCATTTCAGTCCACCATTAAAATGCAGAAAAATAAAAAGACACTTAAAATTCTTATCTTCATTTTCAAATCCAACAAAATTCATGCCCCTTTTGATCTCTAATCCCCTCCATCCTTACAACCCTGAGATCTCTACACTCCTGGGACTCTGGTTCCTTGAGCATCCCTGATTTTTAAACATCTCCCTCATGATCAAACCTGAATGGCTCCAATGTAAATTTGGAGATAACATCCCCTTATTTTGCATTTCACCCCAAGCACAGGAACAAAAAAAATTAAGTTGCTACATCATTTCAAATAATGTCACCTCTTACCCAAACAGCTGATCTTTATGTTGTTACCTCACATCCCAGTCAGAAAGTTATGGATGCAGGTAGTGTGCTAGGAAGGCTGCAATGTCAGAATATTAAACCACTGACTCCTGTCTCATCTCCGACAGACTGGGGAAACCAGAAGATTCCAAACAGTTTTGTTTTTATTCAGTCATGGGATGCGGGAGCAGCTGGCCAGGCCAGCATTTATTACCCATCCCTAAATTGCCCAGAGGGCAGTTAAGATTCAAGCATATTGCTGTGGGTCTGGAGTCACATGTAGGCCGGACTAGGTAAGGATGGCAGTTTCCTTCCCTAAAGGAAATTTTTAAAGATGGGTTTTTCCAACAATTAACGATGGATTCATGGTCGTTAGACTCCTAATTCCAGATGTTTTAGTGAAAGAAAATAAAGAGGCCACCTGCAATGGCAGGATTTGAACTCAGGTCCCAAGAACCTGACGTGTCTTTCTGGGTTAACAATCCAGCGATAATACCATTAGGCCAGATCTTCCTCTCAGACTGTTCCAAATAGTGCAAGCTGTTCTTCCACATTGTGTACAAAATAACACGTACAGTAGCGGAGTGAGACCAGCAATCTGAACATTGAACTAATGATCTGCAGATGTGAAGTTTAGATCCCACTGAGGCTGATGGAGAATTTAAATTCAGATAAATAACTAAATCAAGAACAAAAAGCTAATTTTGGTGATGGTGACTGTGTAGTTGCTGGATCATATCAAAATCCCAAATAGAGTCAAAGTTATACAGTATGGAAACAGGCCCTTTAGTCCAACTTGTCCACGCCAGATATCCTAAAGTAATCTAAGTCCCATTTGCCAGCATTTGGCCCATATCCATCTAAACCCTTCCTATTCATATACCCATCCAGATACCTTTTAAATATTGCACTTGTACCAGTCTGCACACCACCTTGCAGCTCATTCCATTCACCCCACCACCCTCTGTGTGAAAAAGTTGCCCCTCAGGTCCATTTTAAATCTTTGCCCCTCTCACCTTAAACCTCTAGTGTTGAACTCCCCCACCTTAGGCAAAATACCTTGGCTATTCACTCTATACATGCCCCTCATGATTTTACAAAACTTCAGCCTCAAACGCTCTAAGGAAAAAGAGCCACAGGCTATTCAGCCTCTCCCTATAGCTCAAACCCTGGCAACATCCTTGTAAATCTTTTCTGAACCCTTTCAACCCCAGCAATGGTTCAGTAATGTCCCTTAGAGAAGGATGAGCACTTCCTAATCCAGTTAGCCACAGCAATGAGGCTTAATCTTCACTCCTTCAACAGCCTGAACAGCCTCCCCACTGAATCAAATTTTTTTTTTTTTTTTTTAAGAAAACAAGAAACTGTAACTGACCTGGACTCTAGTGGCTCATCACAGTCTCATGATGAATTAGGGATGGGCAATAATTGGCAATACTAGCAGAGACATATTTCCATGAGTTAATACAAATAGATATTTTCTTATTTTAAAAACCATGGAAGTCCTACTAAATTCAAAGCATTTTTGCACTGTTCCACGAGCAAGATGAATGCTGTTGGTCCATTGAGAACTATCAACAATCAGAAATGAATCATGAAAAGTCTAATAAGCATCATGTTTTAAACAGAAAATAGAATCATTTTTGTATCCTAACTTCGGTAACTTGGCTGATGAAGCATCAGATTTCTGACCATTTCACTCACTGTAAAGTTCTGAGAAATTGAAGCATCCTTGATAAAGAGAAAAGTACGGGGAAGCTGAAAGGGCAAGCCAATTCTACACAATATTGAGACGTATCCTGGCAGCCTGTTTTTTAAAAGCAACGTTATGAGGCTACATCAATGGCACGTAATGTTGAGACACCAATGCAGTCCACTTGTCAGAGCTGCACAAATAGAATGGCTGGGGACTGGCCCAGTGTCATTGTGAAATGTTGTCAATTGTTCCAGATGAGGGCCAAGGCCCTGGACCATGGACACATACCTGAGGAACAGCTTACCTCCTCTTTCTTCTTTGGATCAACCATAGGATTTCTGAACAATGGAGAATCTCCAAATGGGGTGTAGGCCAGAGCATTAAGCTGCTGCTGTAAAACAGCCTGCTGTGTGGCGGAGGCATTCGGGTCAGTCAAGCCTGTAACAGACAGAGATTGCAGAAGTAAAGTGAGCACAGAATAAGCCAACATACCATTTTCATTTTATTCCTCCTTGGGATGGAGGTGAGACCATTCCCAACTAATGAACTGAATACATTTGGATTTTCAAAAGGCTTTCCCTCAAGATCCAAATAAAGGTTACTACACAAGATACCAACTCAAGGTCTTTGTTGTGATATTGAAGCATGGATAGAGGATTGGCTAAAGAGTAGGAATGAGTAGAGGTGAGATAAATGGATTATTTTCTGGATATCAAACAGCAAGTACTGCCATTGGAATCAGTGCCGAGGTCTCAACTATTTATGTGTGTCTTTATGAGGAATGATTGATCAGGTTGTACTCATTTCCAGCCATGATCTCATTAAATGGCAAAACAGACTCAACAGGCTGAATGGCCTACGCATGTGTGCATGTCTTACAATGTTTAGAAAAACAAGGGGTAATCTTAGTGAAACACAAGATCCTAAGGGGGCGTGACAGGTTGGATGCTGAGAAGGAATCTAGGAGATGGGGGGCGGGGGTGGGTGGGGGTGGAGGAGAGCGGGTGGGTGTGGTAGTGGTGGTGGTGGTGTTGTTTCAAAATAAGAAGTCTCCCCTTAAGATGGAGATAAGCAGGACTTTCTTCTCAGAGGGTCAGTCTTTGGAATTCTTGTCCAAGGACACCAGTGGAGTCTGAATCATCAAACGCATTCAAGAAAGAGCTAAACAGAGTTTAAGTGAATCAAGGGTGAAAAGGATTGGAAGAAAGTTAATGTCACAATTAGATCAACCCGATCGAACCGAACGGAGGAGCATGCCGAGGGGGCTTAACCTGTTCATGCTGTCGTTCTACTCAATGTGGAGGCTGGATCTGAGCTCTGACCTGCCATTACGCAAAACAGAGTCCTCGAATCACTGACCTCCACTTGGAAAGGAAAGGAACGTGACACTGGCATGATGGGCCAAATGGTAACCTTCCCTCCCAAAATATGGACTACTGCCCATGTCATGGGGAACATTAGCTGGCTTCCTTAGCCATGGAGAACAATCAAACAGTGCCCACTTCCCAACAATAAAAGGAAGGGGCGATGGGGTTACGAGCCTGGTGCCTGCTCCTGATCAAGAGGAGCTGTACTACCCCTCCCCATTCTTGAAAACTGACACTAGCATATCTTGCTTCCCAATCAGGATGGCTCAGTCATTCAGCAGGAAGGTCATGACTCACTGAGCCACAGCCCGACTCTCCCTTTTAACTTTTCAGATTGGAGATCACTTTAACCCCACATCGTGTGGAGGTGCTAGTGTTGGATCGGGCCGGGGGGTGGACAAAGTCAGAAGTCACATGACACCAGGTTATAGTCCAACAGGTTTATTTGAAATCACAAGCTTTTGGAGCGTAGCCCCTTCATCAGGTGGACAGTGTCAGAGAAGCACACAGAATGCAGAATTTTTGGGGAGAGAGATCAAAAGATCATACCAACGCTGCGAGTGGATTGTCAAATACTAAGGTGAACAAAAATGTTAAAGAAAATTTTCCAGATACAGAACACTGAGGTGGGGTCACATGTAGAGCTACATGAACCCAAGATCACGGCTGAGGCCATCTTCACGGGTATGAATCTTGGCTATCAGTCTTTACTCGGCGATTCTGCATTGTTGGTGTATCTTGAAGGCCACTTACCCGAAGATCGGAGGCTAAATGTCCTTGACCGCTGAAGTGTTCCCCGACTGGGAGGGAACATTCCTGTCTGGGGTTTGTTGTGTGATGTCCATTCATCCATTGTCATAGTGTCTGCACGGTCTCACCAATATACCATGCCTCGGAACATCCTTGCCTGCAGCGTACGAGATAGACAACATTGGCTGAGTCACATGAGTGTCTGCTGTCTACTGTCTACATGGTGGGTGGTGTTCCCACGTGTGATGGTAGTATCCACGTCAGGTCATCGACAAGTCTTGCAAAGGTTGCTATGGACAGGGTTGAGAGCTGTTGTGGTCAATGTTGCCCTGAAGGCTGGGTAGTTTGCTGCGAAGTGGTCTGTTTAAAGCTTGGCTGTTGTTTGAAGGCGAGAAGTGGAGGTGTAGGCATGATCATGGCAAGATGCTTGACATCATTGATGACATGTTGAAGGCTGTGAAGAACATGGCATAGTCTCTCCATTCCAGGGAAGTACTGAATGACAAAGGGTTCTCTATCAATCGCAGCCTGTGTCTGTTTTCCGAGGAGATTGTTGCGGGTTTTTGCTGTAGCATGCCAGAACTGGCGATCGACGAGTTGAGCAATGTATCCTGTCCTTAAGATGGCATCATTCAAAATCTTTAGGGGTCTGTCACGTTCCTCCTCATCCAAGAAGATCCTGCATATGCGTAGGGCTTGTCCATAGGGGATGGCTTCTTTAATACGTTTAGGGTGGAAGCTAGACAAGTGCAGCATCGTGACGTTAACCATGGGCTTGCAGTAGAATGAGGTACTGAGGTGTCCATCCCTGATGGAGATGCAGGTGTCCAAGAATGAGATTGATTCTGAAGAGTAGTCCATGATAAGTCTGATGGTGGGATGAAACTCTAGGGAGGCGATGGCCTAGTGGTATTGCTGCTGGACTGTTAATTCAGAAGCCCAGCTAATGATCTGGGGGCCTGGGTTCAAATCCCGCCACAGCAGATGGTGGAATTTGAATTCAATTAAAAAACCTAGAATAAGAATCTAATGATGACGATGAATCCATTGTCAATTGTCAGGAAAAACCCATCTGGTTCACTAATGCCCATTAGGGATGGAACCTGCCATCTTTACCTGGTCTGGCCTACATGTGACTCCAGACCCACAGCAATGTGGTTGACTCTGGGCAATTAGGGATGGGCAATAAATGCTGCCCTGGCCAGCAACACCCTCATCCATTTATGAATTTAAAAAAAAACGTGTTGATATCACCATGTAGTTGTTTCAGTGATTCCTCGTCGTGAGACCAAAGCAAGAAAATATCAATGTACTGGTGATTACTGCTGGTTGGAGGTCCTGTACAGTGAAGTAGTCTTGCTTGAACTGGTGTATGAAAATGCTGGCATATTGGGACAAATCTGGGCCCCATGCTGTTCCAGGTGTACGGATGAAGAACTGGTTGTCAAAGGTGAAGACGTTGTGGTCGAGGATGAAGTGGATGAGTAGGATGGTGTCTGGAAATTGGCAGTTGGTGGTATTGAGTACTGAGGCTGTTGCGGTGATGCTGTCCTTGTGGGGGAAGCTGGTGTAGAGTGCTGAAATGTTCATTGTGACGAGGAATGTTCCTGGTTCGACTGGTCTGTGGGTGCTGAGTTTCTGTAAGAAATCTGTAGTGTTGCGACAGAAGCTGGCGGCTCCCTGTACAATGGGTTTCAAGATGCCAGAGAGGTTCTCACACAGGGTCCCATTGCCTGATACGATGGGACGTCCAGGTGTGTTGGCTTTGTCCATCTTCGGATGGCAGTAGAAGTCATCTATGAGTTACATATGCAGGACAAGTGTGCAGTGAAGGTCTGGATCAAAAGTCTTGACTAATCTGTCCAGTTGACGGGTGTGTTCTTTGGTCAGATCAGCAGGTAATTGTCGGTATGCTTCTTTGCAGTAGTCTGTTCTATTCTATGTGGCAATGGCTCCTCCTTTGTCTGCTGGTTTGATGACAATGCTGCCATTGGTCTTGAGAGCACGGATGGCGTTGTGTTGTGTTTGGGTGATGTTCTGCTGCTACCTTGTGAGCGTGGCTGATGAATCTGGCTTTAGCGCATCTCTTTATGGCTTGAACATACATCGAGCCGAGGGCAGCAGCCTCCTGGAGGGGTCCAATTCGACTCTTTGGTTGCTGCCCCACGGATGTCTGTTGACCGTTCTGGTTTGTTCGTTGTCTCAGTGGGCCGCTGCTGACATCTTGGGATTTGTGAAAGAATTCCTGCAGCCTCATTTGCCTGATGAATTCCTCTGTGTCTGCTGTGAGATCAACAGGGTCCATTTTGGTGGTTGAGCACAAATTGAGCCCTTGGCTGAGAACTGTGATTTTGTCCGGTTGAAGGGTGTGGTCAGACAAGTTGATGATGGATTTCACTGTGGTGGTACAGGTTTTAACCATGACACAAGGGGGAGGTTTGGTTACTGCTGGTGGTGATGCCAAGCTTCTCCTGTTTCTTGTTTTTGGTGTGTTATGATCTCTTTCTTTGTTTGCACAGTTTTGGATTACTTATTACTTTGGTTAGACTCTCAGCATGTGACTATCATGTTATTCCAGTCATTTGGTTTGTCTCCAGCACCACCTTAATTTTAATTTTTTGTAATTATCACTCTGCCTCATTTAATCAAATTACAGGTCATCCCTTCACTTGTTATTCAACTGTTGACACTTTTGATCACTGCAGAGACTTATTCAACACTGCACTCACACCATTTGTATGATCTTTCTATCTCTCTGCCCATAAACTCTGCCTGTGTGCTTCTCTCTGGCTTCACCCGAAGAAGGGACTACGCTCCAAAAACTTTGATTTCAAATAAACCTGAACTATAACCTGGTATCATGTGGCCTTTGACCTAACCCCACAATCAAAAATCATCAACTCAAAAGCAGTTCAGGCAGATTTACACTTTTTAGATCTACACAGTTAACTCAATCAACAAGAAAAAATAATCAAATGCTTGGCCAAAGAGGCAAATTTTAAGTAGGGCCTAAAGGAAGGTTAGAGCCCAGGCAGCTGGATACACAATCACCAAAGGTGATTACAATCAGGGTGTCAGAGACTAGAGATCTCCGAGCCGAGAGACTGCAGGACAGCAGCAATAGAGAAGGGCAAGGACACGGAGGATTTAGAATAGTCACATTTGCTTTTAGATGAAGTGACTGCTTAACAAGCAGCCAACATTGGTAAGTGAGCAGAGAGACAACGGGTGAGAGTTTGGATAGGGACAGCAAGAGTTTCAGTGAGCTGAGACACAGCAGGTTACACACACCTGTTGTGATGATTACTTACAGACAGGAGCCTGAGGTGCTCCAAATCCCACACCGGCACTGGGTGCATTGAAGGCTCCTGCTCCAAATGTTCCTGCTCCAAGAGTGGTGCCCAGTTTGGGCTGAGTGCTTCCGAACAAGGACGTCTGCCCAGCACCCAGAGCTATGAAAAGAAAACAAAGGCATTGCAGATCTCAGTGAATGTGGGGCAACATTGTCAGATCTTTCATCTGCTTCTGTCAGTTATTGACAGGAGATTATGTGGACGGGTCTGTTTGTACATGACTGCCTTATCGTGATGATCACTTCCAGTATTTCAGTTCTAAACAGCAGCTGGGACAAACCACCTTTCTGCTGGTTGGTATTAAATGCCCATTGGTACAGACCAGCTGAGATGTGTCCTTGTTCACCCTCTCTCTCAATTCCTACTAGGAAACTAGTACAAGCGCTACACAGTGTAGATACAGGTCAAGTGGTCTGTGTTCAGACTCTATACAAGACGCCTCCCACCATAACTTTCAAACCCAAATGTTAGCACGTGCTTATCTAGCTGATGATTAGTCAATACCACTCAATTTCACCAGTCCATATGGTAGCAAATTCTACATTTAACTGGGCCCAACCTTCTGGCCAGACCACTGTGCAGCCCCAGTCTATTTACTCTACCCTGCACATATATCAAAGGTCATGGAATAGTAATCCCGAAAGCAAGCTCTAGCTAATTACACTGCCTCAGCAACTAAGCTCAATGAAAGCACTTCATCCTCCTCCACCATCCAGAACATCTCCCGAAGGACGAAACTGGCAGAAGATTGCATTAACTTGGCTTGGACTCCCTCCAGTCTAAGACTGAGGGCTGGCGATCTAATCAAGGGGTTTAAAATGATAAAAGATTTACAGGCAGTAGCTGTTTCCTTTGGTGGTGGGTGGTGGGGGGAAAGAGAGGGAGGGAGAGAGAGAGAGGGAGAGAGGTCCAGAACAAAGGGGCATGACCTGAAATTCAAGCCAGGCCGTTCAGGGATGATGTCAGGAGGCACTTCACACACAGGACTGGAAATCTGGACCTTTCTCCTACAGAAAGACAGGAACTCTAGTAACTTTCAATGACTGGAAAGGTTTAAGAAGTCAAATGGCCTCTTTCTGCTCCTCTGGAACCCCTACAGTTGCTCAGCTGGGATCAATGGCTTTGAGTTGGTCAGCTCAAGGTTGCTAACCCTGAGGCTGAGAGCACTGCCTGTCCATTTCCTTAGTTTGCGCTGAATTCCAGACATCTGCCTCTATAGTTCCTTAATCCTGTATATTCCCACCCTCCTAGTCACGTCAACAGCTCACCTGATCCAAATCCACCTCCAAGGGTTGTTCCGAGAGCTCCAGTTGCAGGTTTATTCCCAAACAGACCACCTGTTGCTGTATTTGCTCCAAATCCTAGAGAAGCAGATCCAAAGCAGCCAGTGATTCAGCTTTTAATTATCCTGCTGCATCAGACATTGAAGTGCCAACATCCTGAACCCCCACACCCCATGGCACGAGGGCACAACACTGTATGCTCACAGCACCGTAGTAATAGGTGTGTCTGATGGGGTGAAAGACAAACTATGCAACTGCCTCCCAAGGCTCCACAGTGAGCAACACTGTGACCCAAGTAGACAGAACACTCGTTTCGGGTAGATAGAGAGAGGCAGCATACACAAGGCTGCGTTCAGATGGCCAGTGGCAATATGGAATACTGAACACCAATTGGAGCCAGCATTTGAGAAAGGAAGAAGTGGCAGCAAGATCCAACTTTGAAGATCTAGTGTGAAGCCTATCAAAGCTAAGGTTAAATCAATTGATATTTCTTTGAGGAATCTTTTCTTTCCCACCCTCTTTGCTCAGAGGATCGGAGCATCAACAGCAGAGGAATTTACTGTCCATCATTATTTGTCCTTGAACGGAGTGGCTTCCCTGGCCATTTCAGAGAGTGCGAGGCCAACCACATTGTTGTGGGTCTGGAGGCACGTGTAAGCCAGACCAAGAAAGTTGGCAGATTTCACAAAGTCAGTTATATGGCATGAGAACAGATCCTTCGGTCCAACTCGTCTGCGCCAACCAGACATCCTAATTAATCTAGTCCCATTTCCCAGCATTTTGGCCATATCCCTCTAAACCCTTCCTACTCACATACCCATCCAGATGTCTTTTAAATGTTATCGTACCTGCATCTACCACTTCGTCTGGCAGCTCATTCCATACATGCACCACCCTTGGCGTGAAAAAGTTACTTGTCAGGTCCCTTTTAAAGCTTTCCCTACTCACCTTAAACATACGCTCTCTAGTTCTGGACTCCCCTACCCTGAGGAAGGAAAAAAAGACCTTGCCTATTTACCCTATACACGCCCATGATGATTTTATAAACTCCTGTAAGGTCAGACCTCAGCCTCCAATACTCCAGGGAAAAATAGCCCCAGCCTATTCAGCCTCTCCCTATAGCTCAAACCCTCCAACCCCAGCAATATCCTCAAAGCTTTTCTGAACGCTTTCAAGTTTTAACATCTTTCCTACAGCAGGTAGACCAGAATTGAAGCAGTATTCCAAAAGTAACCTACCCAATGTCCCAACTCCAATAGAAGGCAAGTGTGCCAAACACCTCCTTCACCACTCTGTCTACCTACAACTCTACATTCAAGAAACTATGCACCTGCACCCCTAGGTCTCTCTGTTCAGCAACACTCCTCACAGCCTTACCATTAAGTGTATAAGTACTTCCGTAATTTGCCTTTCCAAAATGCAATGCCTCACATTTATCTAAACTCCATCTGCCACTCCTTAGCCCATTGGCCCATCTGATCAAGGTTCCGTTGTACTCATAACTTTCTTCACTGTCTACTACACCACCAATTCTGGTGTCATCTGCAAACTTACTAACCTTACCTCCCACATTCTTATCCAAATCATTTATATAGATGACAAAAAAGTGGACCCAGTGCCAATCCTTGCAGCACACCACACATCACAGGCCTCCAGTCGAAAAAAAAACAACCCTCTACCACCACCCTCTATGTCCTACCATCAAGCCGATTTTGTATCCAATTAGGTAGCTTCTTTTGGATTCCTTGAGATGTAACCTTGCTGATCAGTCTACCACGCTGAACCTTGTCAAACAGCTTGAAATCCATATAGACAACATCAACCACACTGACTTCATCAATCTTCTTGGTCACTTCAAAAAAACTCTATTCAGTTAGCGAGACACGATTTCTCACGCTCAAAGCCATGCTGACTATGCCTAATCAGTCCATGCCTTTCCAAAGGCATGTAAATCTTGTCCCTCAATCTCCTCCGACAACGTACCCACCACCAATGTCAGGGTCACTGGTCTACAGTTCCTTACCTGCTTTTCCTTACCATCTTTCTTAAATGATGGCACCACATCATCCACCCTCCAGTCTTCTGGCACCTCACTTGTGGCTATCAATGATACAAATATCTCAGCAAGGGGCCCAGCAATCTCTTCCTTCCGTAAAAATATTTTAGTGGACCAGATGGGTTTTTGTGACAACTGACAGTTTCCTGGTCACACTGCTTTCCTCACAGCATGGAACAACAGTTCAACAAAGCAGCCCATGAACACCTTCAATTAGGGAAGGGCAATAAATGTTGGTTTCGCCAACAATGTCCAAATCCTATAAACAAATTAATAAACTAGCTGTACATTTTAGATTTATTTTAAATTCCCCCAACTGCTTTGCCTGTACAGCAGTAGCCTGGTCCTCAGAGTTACTTGCCCAGAGACATCAGATTATGACATCATCCCCCTGATCAAAGCACGGCTGGAACATTATAACTTTGAAAGAAAATTAGACAGATATTTAGGGAGGTGATCAGGAAGTTGGTCAGAGCTGGTTTAAAAACTGTATCTAAAAAGGAGGAAAGCAAAGTAGAGAAATGGAGATGTTTAAGGAGTGTAAAGACCTCTTCCTTTTATTTTTGATTGAGGACCAAAATTGGTAAAGTCTGCTTTGAAAAATGGTCAAAGGTAGAAGTTGCTGGTGTTCTGAGGAAGGGTCACTCGACTTGAAACATTAACTCTGATTTGTCTCCACAGATACGGCCAGACCTGCTGAGCTTTTCCAGCAATTTCTGTTTTACAACATCCGCAGTACTTTCGGTTTTTATTTAGTCATAAAATTTATCTGGTTTATTAGTGGCCTTTGGGGAAAGAAATCTGCCATCTTTATCTGATCTGACCTACGAGTGACTGCAGACCCAGAGCACGTGATTGATTCAACTGTCCCCTGAAATTGCTGAGTAAGGCACTCCATTCAAGGCAAATAGGGATGGACAATGAATGCTGGCTTAGCCAACAACAGCCACATTACAGGAACGAATTGAAAAAGTCCTATCAGCTGCCCCTACCATTTCCCTCTTTTCCTCTTGTCCACTGGACTATACCTCTTCCAAGGTTCCACAATCAAACAAAGAACTATGGATGCTGGAGATCTGAAACAAAAACAGAAACAGAAATTGCTGGTGAAACTCAGCAGGTCTGGCAGTGGGCAGCGGGCAGCAAGTAGCAAGTAGAGTTAATATTGAGTCCAGTGACTCTTCGGGTCTGCCAGTTTCATTAGCAATTTCTGTTTGTCTCTTCCAAGGTTCCCCAATCTTAGCCATAAATCTCTCTCTCCTGTATTGTCACAAGTCTTTTGTGTTCTGAGCCTATGTTATCCAAAAAACCTACCTCCTACACGGGCAGTCTGAATCCCTCTAAACTGATCACCCAACTTCCCATCCTAGTCCCTATGTCAGTCATTAAACTGTTCTCTCCTTAGGAATTATTCTCTCGTTCCAATCAGTCACCACCTTATCCTTTACAAATTTCTCTTTCCTCTCCAAATCGCCTGTGTGCGCCAACCTATGTAGGTTCACTCATGGAAACCAAAAAAAAAAACCTGATTTACAAACCCATCCACAGCGTTGCTCTTCCCTATCAATATAACTTTCTCCAGTCCCAAAAATCTCCCAAGATCTTCACACTACTCCAAATCTGGGGTTGTCTGCATCTTTGATTATTGATGCTTCACCATTTTTAGTTGTGAAATTATTTGCCTGAGCCTGAAGCTCTTCCTAACAGTTTCACCTCGACCAATCGCCCTGGAAGCAGACATTGCAGACTACTTTCACTGGAAAGCATCCTTGTTGGAAAGAGATAGTATGGCTCGGCTTGAGCCAATTACTTGATAATTAGCAGAGGGAACAGAGTTAGACAGGTTTATGATCACAAGAGTCTAGAGTTATGGGGCCATATCAAACCAGCCATGATTTTACACACTCAAAAGGACCAAATGGCCTACTCCTGCTCTACACTTTTGTATTCCTGACTGGAATGTGAGCATTGCTTGCTGAGTCAGCATTTATTCCTCATTCCGAAATGCCTTTAAACAAGATGGAATTGAGTTGCTTTCTTCAACTGCTGCAGTCCTTGTGGTGTAGGTATGCCATAATGCCATTGAGGGAGTTGCAACATTTTCACTGTTACGTTAATCAAAACACGGACTTAGGACACTTCACTCTCACATACCAAAGTTTGACGTATTGGCACTGGCTCCGATAGTCAGGGCTGGCTTAGTACCAAACAGGCCAGCACCAGCAGTGCCGAAGGTGGAAGCGCTTGTTGTGGCAGTTCCAAATCCAGCAGGTTTGTTAGTAAACAGGCTCTATGGAAGTTAAGAGAACAGGAAAACATAGTCAGCTCTTTTCCCATCCATGGCAGACCATCCCATTTTACAGCCTGGTTATTGTGGGAAACGCACATTAACTTCAGCTCCACCACACCACAAACCCCTAGGTCCCAGCAATTGTACCACTCGCTCATTTCTATCCCTGCAGATTGCTCAATTTATGGCACTTCATTTTGCTCCAACCCAGCCAAACTGGTACATCAGTATTTATTCATCACACGAGCCTCCTGAGCCCTGCCTCGTGTTTATCCATCTTAACCACTCCCTTTGGTGACAGGTTCTGCATTCCTATCAAACTGAAAAGGTTTCTCCCAAATTCCCCACTGGATTTATTGCAACCATCTTACATTGATGGTCCTGGGTTCTATCTTTGTGACAATTGAAAACTTCTCTAGATCTATCCGAGCGAAGCCCTCTCATAATTCCAAAGAGTTATATCAGGTTTCTTCCCCAAAATCAACATCTTACTTTTTGAAACAAAAATAAAACTGCTGCAGCCTGTTGAATTATTTAAAAGTTGAAGCCCAGTTCTGACACTCATACGAATCCTGAACTCACCTTCATCAGTGGCTCTTTTTTTATAAAGATCTAAACATTGCCCAGCATTTCAAAATATTCTGGCCAATGCTTCACACAATTTAACATAACATTGTTGCTTTTCAGTTCTATGCTTTATGGTCTTTAATGGTTGTGAATTTTAATGATTACTGTGGGACTCAAGGGTGATTTAACCCATCACTTTACATTCTCTTGGAGAGCCATGGATCACTCAGTTGCCAAACGTCACAGCAAGTCTGAGGTCCATGACACCCTGGCACTTAACTTACATTGTTGACGTTGGTGAAAGCAGCATTGGTATTGCCAAAGAGGCCACCCCCTGCGCCAAACGCATTCCCGGTGCTGGTGTTGGTGTTGGTTCCAAAAATCCCTCCCGACTGAGAGACTGGGGCAGTTCCGAATAAACTCTGTGGTGAGCAGAGGGTCAAGTTAGAGTTCAAAAACGAACCTGCACGTTCATAAATCTAGATTAGCCTAATGCACTTTACAGAATGGTTACAGAACAAGAGATCACTTAGTCTGCTGTCTCTGTCCCAGCAGCCCAGCAAGAGGTAGGGTCTTAGATTCTTAGGACATCAATACTGATTCCGATTCTGAGGGAGAGAGACCATAAGAAATAGGAAGAGGGCTAGACTGTTTGGCCCCTTGTGCCTGCTCTGCCATTCAAGATGATCATGGCTGATCCAACACTCACGTCCAATTTCCTGTCCTCAACTGATCAAGAATCTCAGCCTTAAATACTCAAAGATTCTGCCCCCATTGCTCTCTGTGGCAAAGAGTTTCAAAGATTCTCAATCCTCAGAAGAAATTCCCTAAGTCTTAAATTGCAACCCCTTAATTCGGAGACGAAGCTTAGACTCTCTCGTCCTAGACTCTCCCATGAGGGGAAACATCGTCTCAGCATTTACCCTGTCAAGACCCTTGAGAATTTTAGATGTTTCAATAAGTTCACCTCTCATTCTTCTAAACTCCAGTGAGTAGAGACTCAGCCTGTTTAGCCTTTGCTCATAAGACAATCCCTCTGTAGCAGGGAATCATCCCGGTGAACATTCTCATTGCTCTGCTCCTGGGCCTGGCCAAAGCAGCCATTAACAGGTCCAGGTAGCAGGCCACAGAGGGGCTTGTCATTCCTGATTGTCTGCCCTTCTTTTGTGGTTATGCCCACACTCGGGTGTCCCTGGAGAAGGAGTGCGCTGTGCTCACTGGCGCAGTCAAGGTATTTCGTGAATGACGGGCGCTGTGGGGGCTGGGCTACATCATCATCCCAGATGACATCATGTTAATTTAGTAAATTTCTGTTTCGTTCTGTAAGATGCCATTTGACTTTTTAAATTTGTTTCATTTTGATACAACGCTCTACAGAATTAGTTTCACTATTATTTTGGATTTGCCAAGAGATTGAGGGAGCTTTATTCTGTATTTAACCCCTTGCTGTCCCTGTTTCCAGAATGTTTGAGGGGAACGGTGCCAACGGAACTTTAGTTTACCTTTAGTTCAAGCGAGAAGAAACTGTATTTTAACCCCTTATTATCCCTATCCCAGGTGTGTTTGACAGGGATGGTGTTGAGAAAACATCACTTTCAGTTCAAAGATTAGCGGGAGCTTTACTCCATATTCAACCCCGTGCTGTTCCTGTCCCAGGAGCATCGATGGGAATGCTGTCAAGGGAACTTTACTTCCTGTTTAAACAAGGCTGGTGAGCTGTAAGCACAGGTAGCTGGTGGATTACATGAATAAGGAGCAGATTAAATTTAAAGATCGAGAAGTTGAAGTCTAAAGTTTTTCAGAAGATTTGTAGCTCGGGTTGTGGATGATGTTGTAGACTTGCTCGCCGAGACGGTGTGTTTGACTGCAGATGTTTCATCACCCTGCTTGGTAACATCATCAGTGCACCTCCAGTGGAGTGTTGGTGTTCTGTCCCTCTTGTTATTTTATTGACACACCTTGGTTCACTGGGGTGGTTAGCATCACTTCCGCTTTTGTTTTTCAGTGGCCTGTATATTGGGTCCAGTTCAATGTCTTTGTTGATGGAGTTCTGGTTAGAATGCCATGCCTCCAGGAATTCCCTGGCATGTCACTGTTTGGCTTGCGCTATTATGGATGTGTTGCCCCAGTCAAATTCACATCCTTCTTTGTCTGTGTGCACTGAGACCAGTGAGAATTGGTCATGTCTCTGGGTGGCTAGCTGGTGTTATGTATCCTTATTGTCAGTTTCCTTCATAACGTTACATCGGCCAAACTGAAAGAAAACTGACAATAAGGATACATGAACACCAACTAGCCACCCAGAGACATGGCCAATTCTCACTGGTCGCAGTACACACAAAGAAGGGCACTAATTTGACTGGGACAACACATCCATAACAGCACAAACCAAACAGACATGCCAGGAAATTCCTGGACGCATGGCATTCCAACCAGAACTCCATCAACAAACACATTAAACTGGACCTGATATACAAGCCACTGAAAAACAGAACTAAATGACACAAAGCTGGGTGGAAGGGTGAGCTATGAAGAGGATACAGAGATGCTTCAGTGCTATTGGATAAACTGAATACACGGCAGATGGAATTATGTGATAAGTGAGAGGTTATCGACTTTGGTAGTAAAAGCAGGAAGACAGATTTTCTGAATGGTTATAAATTGAGAGTGGGGAATGTGCAATAAGGCCTCATAAATCAGCCACTGAAGGTAAGCATGCAGGTGCAGCAAGTGGCAAAGGCAGCAAATGGTACGCTGGCTTTCATAGTGAGAGGATTAGAGTGCAGAAGCAGAGATGACTTGGTGCAATTATACAGGGCTTGGTGAGATCAGTTGGAATACTGTATGCAGTTTTGGTCTCCTTAACTGAGGAAGGATGCTCTTGCTCTTGAGGGAGTGCAGCGAAGGTTTACCAGGCAAATGAGGGGAATCTCAGACTTATAAAATTCTAACAGGACTGGACAGGGTAGATGCAGGGAGGATGTTCCTGATGGCGGGTGTGTCCAGAACCAGGGGTCACAGTGAGGATTTGGGGTAGACGAGGCGACATTTCTTCACCCAGGGTGGAGAGTTTGTGGAATTCATTACCACAGGAAGTAGTTGATGCCAAAACATTGAACATGCTCAAGAGGCAACTAGATATAGTACTTGGGGCGAATGGGATCAAAAATTATGGGGAGAAAGCAGGATTAAGATATTGACTTGAATGATCAGCCACGATCATGAAGAATGGCGGAGCAGACTCGAAGGGCCGAATGGCCACCTCCTGCTTCTATGTTTCTATACGGGGAGTGCAGCAAAGGTTTAGCAGACTGATTCCTTGGATGGCAGGACTGATGTATGAGGAGATTGAATCAGTTCAGATTATATTTGCTGGAGTTCAGTAGAATGAGGGGGATTTTATAGAAACCTCAAATTCTAAAAGAACTAGACAGGGTATATGCAGGAAAGATGTTCCTGATGGTGGGAAAGTCCAGAACCAGGAGTCACAATCTAAGGACACTCGGTAAACCACTTAGGACTGAAGAGAAATTTCTCTACCCGAGATGGATAAGCCTGTGGGTACTATACCACAGAGAGCAGATGATGCCAAACATTGTACAATTTCAAAGTGGTGGATATCGCACTTGCGCTAAAAGGATCAAAAGGATATGGGAGAAAAGCAGGAACAAGCTATGGATTTAGATGACCAGCCACAATGATTATGAATACTGAAGGAGGCTCAAAGGCACAGTTCTGAAGAAGGGTCACTGAACTTGAAACTTTAATGATGTTTTTTGTCCTGCACAGATGCTGTCTGACCTTGAGTTTGTACAGCAATTTCTGCTCTGTTTGTTTCAAATCTACCCACCTTGGTCCTATAAACCATTAACAGGCTGAACAAAATTACTGTGTTACTCTTCCCCAGTCTGTCTGCTGAGGACCTGTTCTACCTCAGAGTGCTCACAATTCTAATGAAGGATTATTGACTTGAAACTAATCTGTTGAGCGTTCCCAGCACTTCCTCTTCAGATTTCCATCTTTTCCAGCATTTTGTTCAGTGTGAGGAAGTGCTTCCTGATATCACCCCTGAACAGCCTGGCTTGGATTTGAAGATCCTGCCCATTGTCCTGGACTCTTGACACTACAGTAAATAGTTTGACCGTCTCCAAATTCTGAAATATTTTGAATTAGATGCCCCTTAATCTTCTATATTCTCCTGTTTCATCTTCTGCAGGGGGAAAAGAGCTGGAATGAACGTACATGCACCACAGCGTAGAATTTCAGACTGCTCAGTATTCTGGATGTCTTACCATGCTGCTGGTGTTGGGCTGACCCAGGGTGTTGGCAGTGCCGAAACCGAAGCCGGTACTCTGTGTGGTGGTGGCCAGTCCGAAAGGTTTGTTCCCAAAGAGGCCTGTGCTAGCCTGCTGCTGTGGCTGACCAAACAGGCCTCCCGTGCCTGTGCCGAAAGCACCAGTACCTGAAACACAGACCCCCAACATCAGCGGAAAGGACTGACTGCACCTTGGTGACAGGGAAACAGCGAAACATTGCTGGACCTCCATCCCCACTGAGTTTCACCTCATTCCCACTGTCACCTCATTGTAACTCTTTAGACAACCCATAAACCCCAGCCCAAACACTTCCAAAGTTGTTTCCACTGTCGCATTGACTTGCTTCTCCTCTTGCAGCTTGACTGGAGCTGTTGCACTTTCTGTAAAATAAGCAAAACACCTAACATCCAAACTTCCTACAAACATGTACAGGGCTAGCTACATTTAGAGAGGCTGGAAGGAGAAATTTCTTTGAGGGCTAAAAATCTTTGGAATTGTATAACTGAGCTCACAATGTTCAGTCAGTCGTTCAGTACACTTAAGACTGGGAACGAGCGATTCTTGGGTATTAAAAGGGAATGGGACAGTGCAGGAAGGTGCAGTTGATATTCAGCATCAGCCACAATCTCACTGAATAGTGGAGTAGGTCAAGGGAGTGGATGGTCTACTCAAGGTAATGCTCATCAATTCACTCACTCACAATCACTGCTGCGTTGTATGGAAACAAGACTTCAGAATTTCAATTTCTGTCAAATACTGACAGAGTTCGATACATCAACACCTGTTCAGAGTACCTGCTGTTGGCAGCAGCAATGTACGTTGGGGTTTCAAGCTTTATGTAAGCTGGCAACAGCAGCGTAAAAGCGTCACAAGCAAATGGGAACATAGGAATAGGAGTAGGCCATTCAGCCCCTCCAGCCAGAATAGCCAATCAAGATTAGCTTTGGTGTGTAGGTATCTCCCATCCTGCACCCCAAGGGCTGAGGAGGAATGACGAAGAGTAGACAACAGTAAAAATATTGACCTGTGGTCAGCACTGATCTGGAAGGAGTCAAGCAGGGCACACTGCTGTTTTGATCCCCAAATATCCATTTCCCCTTTTAGTTGTGGGGTTGGTGGAGGGATATATTAAACCCGTTTTTAAGTCCATAGTGCAAATAATGCAAATTACAGCAATCAAAACATCTTCCTGATCTCCACATGCAGTGCTTTACTGGGAGAGAAAATTTATTCTCGATGTGACTGGAAATGCAACGTAAACCAACACTGCACATGGTAGCTTCAAGCCCATTCAGACTGCAAATTTTCTGCTGTTCCATTCACCTAACGCTTGCTGTCTTTACCCAATCCGAGACCAAATGTAACAGCAGTCCCCAGCATCAACAGGATCAACTATTAACAGCCTTTTGAACTGAATTTGCAAAACCACTCAGCTGTACAAAGAAAGGCTCAAGTTAATTCTGTAAGGGGGATAGACAATGGATTAACAATTCTGAAGAATGAATTTGTAGTGAAATGATTGCTGATGAAGATTTCCTAAAACAAAAGTTTCTTCTTTTTGAGAAATTCTCATTAAATGCCTCGCTCAGACTCTCTCCCTGCCACAAAGCAGCTCCTTTAAGCCTTTGTTCTGCTTAAGCCTGCTCTGTGGAAACCCAGATTGGTTTAGGTAGGGGAGAATCCTGTAGGTCAATCTCATCCACCTATTGGGTGGGCAAGATTCCTCCTCATTCACATCTCTGACAGCCCCTTTAACTCTTGAAGCTATGTAGCACTTTCAATTCTATGGGAGGAATTGCTCCTTGAATAGGATACATACGTACTGTCACTTGTGCTCACCCCACAGAATACTTGCACAAAGCCACAGTATGCATATTGCAACAGGGAGGCAGGATACAACTGTTAAGAGCTTGTGCTAACAAGACATGTGTTTGCCAGAGGTATTGAATTGTTTAAACCATGACATATGCTTTCCAGCAGCTTGGCGCAGGGTGACATTACGATACTGGGTGGAGATACATGATAGTGCGGAGGTGAAGCAGCCCCCGGGGGGCATGTCCTGTGCCCATGGGACTCTATTTGCCAAGGAAAAGGTGTCTTTAAGAGAAAGGGGAGATGTAAATGGGGAAGTAGAACTAGACCTCAAATAAGTTCCAGCTTTCACCAGTCAGTAAATGATTACAGCACAATTGAGCAGCACAGTTTGTACTTCCTGCAAAAAGACCAAACCACGACCTGGTCTCAGCTGTCAAAGCTTTAAACCTCACGATGAAAGTCCCTACCTGTTTTTTGAAGACTGGACCCACAGACTGTCCCCAGCACACCCACTTGGGAAAGGAGACCAGTGTCTGAGGAGAGGAAGTCACTCGTTCAATATTTGATTTTGTTTTAAAATTAAAAATTTACAACACATCTAAAGTGCCAATGGTGACAATTCATATCAGCAGAGCCCATGGGCACAGTTGGCTCTCTCGGTTGCTGCTTCAAGGTATCCTGAGGGCTCCTTCCTCCCCCAAAACACATCACAGCCTTCAGTAAAGGACAAGGGGAGAAAAGTGTGTGTAAAAGATGCCACACATACCTTGAATAAGAGTTGGACATGGATTTAACTTCGATCCAACTAGTTTTTCAAAGGGTTAACAACAGTGGTGGTTATGTTTCAGTTCTGATAATCCGAAGCTCAGACCATAGTAATCCAGAGCCTAATATTACAAATCACACTATGGACAGTTTGTGCATTTGGATCAGGTTTTTAGGAAAATCCGGAAATAAAAAGCAACCATGAATCTGTTGGATTGTTGTCAAAACCCAACAGGTTCACAAACGCCAGGTCCACAGTAACACAGCCAACTTGATGTTCTCAAAAAATTCATGACAGATAGTAACTGCCAGCATCTTCCATAGAGAGAAAAAAATGGGCGGGGGTCAAATTAGTATGACTCTGGAGTGCAAAAAGGGCATGCTATTTTACGGTGGGCTTTCTGCTGTAGAAAGCCGAGGAAATAAACAATGTATTTTGTGACAATTTTCCTTTTAAGTAAAACATCAAGTTTGTTCCCGCATTTATCTGGGACAAATCTCTCACATTTACCTTAGTGTTGCTCCTAACCGCAAACTGGCATTGACACAGAACCTGTGCAGTGATAAATCAGATTAACATGTAGCAGCTATGCATGGATCATGGTGCAGTGGTATTCTCTCTATCTCTGGATCAGAAGGCCCAGGGACAAGTCTCACCTGCTCCAAAAAAGTGAGTTATAACCCCTCCGAGAAGGTTGATTGAAAATATCCTGTATGATTGTCTGGGGATACCAGCCCACAAAACCCACCAACTGATGGGAAACCGGCATCAGCAATGCTGCAGCATCCCCATTGAGTTGCCTTGTTCCACGTTAACAAGGGGAAGTCACTGCCCGATGTGTAGCGACCAGGGGTTTGGTACTGAATACAGCTCACAGAAGATCAGATGTGTTGCTTGAGCCTGTCTCTGTGGAGATGTTCAAACATCATACCTGATCCCTACGGAATGCATGTGGGGAACTGGGATGACAGAAGTGACAAAGGGCTTACAGGCACAGTAATTATGGATGGATTTTGATTATAATGAGAAAACCCAAAATATAAATCCCCCAATGATTCTAGCTGCTCAAGGGAGGGAGTGGTTGAGAACAAGAGCCTTGGAAACCTAGGCAGACAAACACAGCAAGCCAGGCAGCATCTGGAGGAATGGAGTAGTCAATGCTTTGGGTATTATCCTTCTTCAGGACTGAAGAAACCTAGGTTCATTGGAAACCTCGGTTCAATTCCCAACCTGGGTGGCGTAAGCCAATTTGCAGAGTGGACCATACTCAGTACATTGACTGCCTCCTACATCATCGGGGCTCAGGGACATAAATGGGGGTGGGGGAAATTACTTGACTCCTTACTGAAAGCAGGGCGTGTGTAATGGTGTAAAACACCCAAAGCAGCATCACACGTGTTTGCTAGACGTATCTAACAGTCACAGAGAGAGACATAGGGGTGCGCAGCGCATAGCAAGGAATTGTAAAATAAGGGTAGGCTTGGAGGATGGGGAATTGCTGCAGTGGTGCTGGATGAATGAGTCTTGGAGACAGTATGGATACAGACAGTAGGGTTTGGATAAGCTGAAGATGCAAGGCCACTGGACAGAACTATACTCATTTTTGGTGCTCTCTGCAATGGTCAAACATTCTTCCAATACTCTATCCAGAGCTGGATAAATGGGCATGCAGGGAGTTATTAGCACAGGGTATAGTCAGCTTCAGAAGGTAGGCACTGATACTGCACATAACTGTCACACTGCCCCTTAATATTTTGATTTAACAGCCCCTGCCCCAGATGAAAATTCTCCCCTAAAACAAGAGCCCCTGATCAGCTGCAGCCTATTCCAAATAATCAACAAACTCACTTGCTCCGAAGCCAGTTTTGTTCTGTCCAAAGTTGAAGCCTCCGGTCGGGTTGGCTGGAGTGGCTCCAAACAGCCCAGTGCCAGTGCTGGATGTAGCGGTTGAAGTGCCAAACAGACCACCACCACCCCCTAGGGGAGCCTGAGGCCCTTTACGGCCAGCAGTGTAATCCTCCAAACGCAGCTCCTGGAAGTAGCAAAACCACAGAGAGAGAGTCAATGGTGGAAGCATCACCTCCAACCAGCTCGCAGAGACCAGAATCCTGCCAGATTTATTCCCCGCTTCTTCTGCTTAGAGGTGCTGAGCTCAGTTAATTCAGTAAGTTGCAGAGTATAGCAGTGTCATGAGAATATTAGTCAACTGGTAACCCATATTCCAGAACATTCTCACGAGAACATTAAACAAACACCCGGAACAGCCAGTCTGTGGATACAAACTCAGTTTTGTCTTAAATCAGTAAAAGGTTGGCTCTAGTTTAAATGATTTGTTGTAAAGTTCCACCACATATACCCTTTCCTGAAGGAAATGGACTAACTTTACCCACCTGATTCTAAATGCAACTCCTGTCTACTGTTACATTTAATATTTAGCTACTCTCTGAGCTGACCTAGCAAACCTCTTTATAGTATTAAACTGAACACTAAAATACACTGAGCATCCTCATGCTTTCGGTACAAATCTATATCTTCTTTCCAGAAGGTTCCTTGAGAAGCAATGTGAAATTAGGCCAATTCTGGAAAGGAGATAATGACTTCTACATGACATGTGGCCACTAGATCTCAGGAGAAATCTCCATGTGACCTGAAGCTACTATAGAGGCAGGAGCTATAAGGTAAGGGTAAATAAGCAGTTAAGTGGAGATCAACTGGAGATGGTCTCAGAACCTGCAATTCAGAACAGATCTTGCTGAAAAGCCAGGAAAAATACAGAATAGAACAGTGACCATGTTACTGTATGCTACACAATTGGACCAAGAGCTGAAGCCAGGGAGAGCAGCACTGCAGGTGGATGAGACACATTCTAGCTATTTCAGTTTTGTCAGAGCCAGATTGTTTAAAATGGTCAAAACAGGGAGTCTCTGGAGTTTGCAACTCATCAATATATTGAGAGCCTGGCAAAAAAGGCTCTATACAGGCACTTCGTTTGAACATCAAATCTATCCAAGGTGTTCAGATGGAATACATCTGCTTGTGTAAGTGACTTGAGGTCCATGGGAAACAAGAGAACCCAAGGATGAGATGGGAAATCATGAGATGTATGTGCTGCTATATTTCTACGGGATGTGACACAAGTGTTTTTAAACTACGAGAGATGTATCTTTGCTGTTCTGACTGTTTAAAGGTTACCTATATATCTGCAGTGCTTTTAGTTAGTTCATTACAATAAAAGTCTGAAAAAGTGACATCCTGCCCATCAGTTTTCTTTCAGTTGGTACCCCAGGATTTCTTTCTTTCAAAAATGTCATCAGTCTCTGCGGTGATAATAAATACGAGGCACGAGTACCAAACGCTCATCTTACCAGCAAGGAAAATCCATCCACACAACAGTTCTCACCTCCAGTGACTTGGTCTCGTATTCCTTCATGGCTGTGATACACTGGTGCTTGGTGCTAATGTTGGTGCTGACTCCAGACTTTACCATTGTGTCAGTGCCTGTTGGAGGCTGCAGGCATGCGAAAGACAAAAAACAGTGAAGTTAATACAGCACACCACTCGTGTGAGAAGAGGCACTTCGAGCAACCAAAGTTTGTTCCACTGAATTCCAAACCCTCCATCAAGCACTATCCCAGTTGTAAACAGCTCGCTTTGCTGACTGAAGTTGCCAGCTCAAAGATGTGCAGGTTAGGTGGATTGGTCATGCTAAATTGCCCGTAGTGTGTTCAGGGATGTGTAGATTAGGTGGGTTATAGGGGTTGGGTCTGGGTGGGATGCTCTGTGGGTCGGTGTGGACTTGTTGGGCTGAAGGGCCTGTTTCCACACTGTAAGGATTGTAGGGATTCTATGATTCTATCTCCACGGCTGGCTAGCAGAGCTACCTAAATCTCTCACACTGTTCACTCCTTCCTACTCTCAATTCACCACCAGTTGAGACACTGATTATTCAAGTAGGCAGGCAGTTCAGAAATTTCCAACAGTCTCAGAGTAACGTGGCTGTTAACTTCCGACTCTGCGTCGGTATAAGCTGAGCACTACCAATTCCATCATACTCACATTGAATTTAACAGTGGTTCCAGTAGGGGCAGCAGTGCTAAAGGTGGTTCCCCCAAACAAGGTTCCAGAAGTCCCACCGAACGGATTAGAGGCAGTGCTGGTGGTCCCAAACAGGCCACCTCCTGTCGTGCTGGTTCCAAAAGCTGAAAACAAGAACAAAGTCACTGAAGTTCCCAGAGTACTCAAACAAAAATACAATCATTCTGTGGTATCCCTATATGTCATTGCAAGTGTTCTTCCCACACTCACCCCACTGGCCTGTCCCACGTGAACTATTAACACATACAGGGTGGTTTTCTGTCCCTCAAACCTACTGTGTTATTCAATACACTGTAGCTGAACTGATTGTGATCTTAATTCCACATTTTCACCTATTCCAATAACCCATCTACTTTAAAAATACCAATTGTTGACCCCACCTCTACTACTCTCAGCAGAGGAGAGTTTCAGACAACCAATGCTCTGAGACAAACATTTCTTCCTCTCTAACCCAAAGGGAGACTCCCTATTTTTAAACAGTTTCCTTTATTCCAGTCTGTCCCATGAAGGGAACCATCTTCTCAGCATCCACTCTGTTCAGCCTTGAGTAAGATGGGGAGGCAACAGCCTAGTGGTATTATCGCTGGACTGTTAATGCAGAGACCCAAATAATGGTCTAGGGACCCAGGTTCAAATCCCACCAAGGCAGATGGTGGAATCTGAATTCAATAATCATCTGGAATTAAGAATCTAATGACGACCACGAATCCATTGTCGATTGTCGGAAAAACCCATCTGGTTCACTAATGTCCTTTAGGGAAGGAAACTGCCATCCTTACCTGGTCTGGCCTGCATGTGACTCCAGACCCACAGCAATGTGGTTCACTCTGAACTGACTTCTGGGCAACTAGGGTTGGGCAATAAATGCTGCCTGGCCAGCGATGCCCTTATCCCATTAATGAATTTTTTAAAAATCCTGCTGCTCCTTGGTGATTGCAAATTGCTCAGCTCCGCGGACAAAGGGCTCACAGAAAGTGAGCAGACAGTGTTATGGCAGCAGGCAGTACCCAGGACCTTCCAGCTCTTGGAGCCACTTAAACAACAAAAGGGTCTTTAATTCCTGCTGTTCCATTCATGACATATCAGGAGCACTTTCCAAGATTTCATAAACAACAATGAAATAAATGATCTAACAAACATTAACGGAGATACTAGGAAGCACACCACTGCTCTTCTTCAACCTTGGGATAGTTACATCCAGCCCAGGGAGCATACACAGATTCTGTTTAATATCTCCCAGAGAGATGGTGAGGCACTCCCTCAGTTTTGCACAGACAGTGTTCACGTTGACCAGGTGACAAGCACCTGGATTGGGACTTGAACTCATGGCAGACAGAGGTGAGACAGTGTCTTGGCATTCATCTGCATTCCTATAACTGTGCTGCATTTTTGTTTTTATTATACCTGGCATTTGCATCCAGCAAGGTGATGACCCAAAACATTAACTTTGATTTCCCTTCACACATGCTGCCAGAATTGCTGAGCTTTTCCAGCAACTTCTGTTTTTGTTTCTGATTTACAGCATCTGCAGTTCTTTTGGTTTTTATTCCCCGAGGAAGGGTTGCTGTAGTGATACAGTGAAAATCTGTCAGGGTTGACATGCAACTTGTAGTGAATAAAAGGAATATCTAACCCAGTGCTCATTCGAGACACTGTGCAGCTCTGATAATGCAGCCCTGGCCTGCAGTACCAGGCTACAAGATGATGTCAAGCCTGACATTAAACCTGCCTCCTTTGCTCTCAAAATTTCTGACAAAAGCTATGCTTACTTCCGAAGCCTCCAGCAGGCTTGCTCTGCTGATTGGAGAACAGGCCCCCTGTGCTCGTGCCCCCGAACAGGCTGTTGGACGTTGACGTGCCAAAACCAAAGCCAGCATTGGTGGACGAGGTTGCCGGCTGCCCAAAACTACTGGAGCCGAATAGACCTCCTGCCAAGAGAATAGACAATAGTGTGACAAATGAAACAAAATGATGGGCCTGTACTCAATGTGAGTAACAAAGTTTCATCTTCGGAAAGAAAGGGCTTGGGTTTATACAGTATTTCTCAATTTTAAGATGTTCCAAAGTGTTTTGCAGCACTTTTTAAATTGAGTCACTTTTGTGATTTTCACATGCTGAAAAGAGTTTATCAATGCTTATTGAGAAATTGAGAGGCATAAAAATTGGTTAGATCACCAGAAAAAATTCTCTGCTTTTCGAAGAATGCATTGGGACCTTTTCTATCCACCCAAGACAAAGACACAAATTTGCTTTAACATCTCGTCCAAAGGTCGGAACGTCAAACAATAAATTTCCTCGGGACTGCATTGAGAGACCATATTTCTGGAATGGGAAACTCAACTCAAGCTCCTGATTAAGAGACAAGACTTCTATCCACATCCACAGCTGGTACCTTGGCAAAATCCCAACCTGTTCACAGATGCAGCAGAAACCGTGCCATCCTTACCCAGTCTGGTCCCATCCACACCACGAGACTAACTCAATATCTTTAGGAAAAATAGGTAGAGCAATCACATTCTAACACCACATTTTTAAGAGGTGGAGTATTATGTATTTTCCACTTGCGGTGTCCCTTGTAAAGATTAAGCCTCAACCAACATAAATCCATTCTCTGATCATGTACTGAACTGTGATGGTGGCATTAAGTTATGTGAAACCTGCATAAAACAAAGGATGTTATGGTAAATTCCTATGAAACTTTGGGCCAGCTTTAGAAGGAGTATTGCATAAAGCTCTGAGCTTCACACTCCAATGTGGAGGGATTGGAGAGACTGTCAAACAGATTCAGAATGATGGTTCTGGGAACTAGGAACCTGTTCACGGACAGAATGGAGAACAGCCCCAGTATAGAGAACCAGACAGAAAACTATGACAACAAATTTCAAACATACAGTAAAGAAGAGGCCCTTCAGCCCGTTGGGTCTGTACTGCCAAAAATATACTAGCACCCACACAAGTTCCACTTTTCCACGCTTGGCCCATAGCTTTCAATGTTATGACATTTCAAATGCTCATCCCTTTTACCAGTTGTTAGATCGCAACTACCCTCCCAAACAGTGCATTTCAGATTCCCACCATCCTGAGTGAAAATCTCTTTCCTCAAAACTCCTCTAAACCACTTGCCTTTCACTTTAACATTATACCTCCTTGTTATTGACCCTTTGGCTAAGGGGAACAACTGCTTCCTATTCACCCTGCCTATGCCCCTCAGAATCTTATACTTCTCTATCTGGTCCCCCCCTCAACCTTTCCTGCTCCAAAGAAAACAACCTGAGCTTATCCAGCCTCTTTTCATAGAGAAACTGAAGGCAACACCTTGGTGAATCTCTTCTGCACCTCAAGCAAATGACTTCCTTCCTATAGCGAGGTGACCAGAACTACACACAGTACTTCAGCTGTTGGCTAACCAAAGTCCTGTACAGCTCCAATATAACCTCCCTGCTCTTAAAACCTACGTCACGAGTGATAAAGGCAAGTGTCCCATATGCCTCAATTACCCTCTTAACCTATTCTGGGATCTGTGGATGTGCCCTAAAATCTGTCCATTTCTTTGAGCTTCCTCATATCCTGACTTTCATCGAGTACTCCCTTGTCTTGTTCCTTCTTCCAAAGTGCACCACTTTATACTCCATCTGCAACTGATCTGCCCACTGACCAATGTGTTATATCCTCCTGCAACCCAACAACGTCCTCCATACAGTTAACCACACAGCCAATCCTTCTGTCATCCGCAAACTTATCATTCCCCCTACATTTGCATCTATATTGTTTATACGTAACCACAAACGATAACGGACCCAACGCTGACCCTTAGCACACTATTGTGCACTGGGCTTCAGTCTTACAAGCAGAGGAAATGTTTCATGCAGCAAATGGTTAGGATCTGCAACGTACCTGCCTGAAGATGCGGTGGAAGCAGATTCAAATTGAGGTTTTCAGAAGGGAATGGGATGATAAGAAACGTATTTGCAGGGCTCTGGGGGGAAGAAAGCAGGGGAGTGGCACTAGATGAATTGCTTCTTCAGAGGGCCAGACTGCAGACATGGTACAGAATGACCTCCTTCTGTGTCGCAATTTTTTGCTGGCCTCTTTTGTTCCACTGATGTTACAACAGTGGCTACACTTCAAAAGGTCCTTCATCAGCAGTGAAGCACTTTTGGACAACTAGGCTGTCAGAGACATTAGTGAGTTAAGAACGGATGTTTTACTGCAGTTATACAGGGCCTTGGTGAGACACCTGGAGTATGGTGTCTGGTTTAGGTCTCACTACTCAAGGAAAGTGATACTTGCTATGGAGGGAGCACAGCTGAGGTTCACACAGCTGATCCTGTGGATGGCAGGATTGCCCTTTGAGAAGAGGTTGATCCAACTTCGTCTGTATTCACTGAAGTTAGAAGGATAGAAGGGACCTGATTGAAACACAAAATTCTAAAAAGGCTGGCCGGATTAGATGTAGGGAGGATGTTTCCTCTGGCTGGGGAGTCTAGAAGCAGGGGACAGTCTCAGGATACAGGCTAGGACTAGGAGGAAAAATTTCTTCCAGGTAGGAAGTGGAGTGAACCAGTGGCATTTTCTACAATAGAAGACTGTGGAGGCCAAGTCCCCGAATATTTTCGAGAGGTAGAAGACAATTTTTAAAAAGATTTTAAAGGCATCAACAGGTACGAAGAGAAAGCAGGGATACGATGTTGTGATAGAGGATTAGCCTGGATTGTACTGAATGGTGGAGCAGACTTGAAATGCCAAATGGTCTACTCCTGCTCCTATTTTCTACATTATGGAAAGGTTATTTTATTCACAATTAAATATATCTCAATTGATGGTTAGCAGGGAGCAAGCAAATGAGAATCTACTCCCTACCTGGCTTGTTTTGAGTGTTACCAAAGAGTCCACCACCGGCATTAGTGGCAGTACCAAATCCAGCTGTGGCCGCACCAAATCCACCAAAGCCTGGAGTTGCGGTATCTGAAAAGCAGGAGATCACAAGGATTTAGGTTACTGGTGAGGATGGATCGAATGAACCATGAGAGACAGGAAGTGGATGCCATACACTTCCTCCAGCCTCCTCCATCAACTAACGAGGTAGTGGCTAAAAAGTGACCTCAGCTCCGTTTGCTCCCAACCTCTTAGCTCACCTCATCAAATCAATCCTCAGGAAACCCAAACTCTATAACTCTGGCATCAGGAATCCAGGAAAAAACTGTTATTTCTCTTCAAAGAAAGAGGTTTAAGGGGAAATTGAATAGAGGCCTTTTGATAGTAAGCTTTGACAGATGAGTAGAAACTGCAGCCAGATTTACTAGCCACAGACTTACACTAGGCAGTAGAACCAGAGGGGGGATTAGGAACATTCACATCACCCCTAGACAGTGAGAGCGCGAGAGAAAACTACGCAGTGGAAAAAGAACCGTGAATGCTCCTTGCTACTCCATGCTACAGGCTGTCAAAGCCAGGCTGTGGCCTCTCTCTCCTTTTCACCTGAGCAGTTTCCAGAACTGAAATGGTCATTTGAATCTGACCTGTGGTGCTGAAGCGATAATGAGCTCAGTGTAACAACAGTCACATGTGGTCCAGTAGACACTTTCTGAACTATTTATTCAGAAACTCAAGTTAGGTCATTTGAGAACCCAAAATTCAATTTTCAATAAATTTGGGCAGAAAAATCTGGTATCAATAAGTGTGTGTCCAGGAACAGGTTGGATTATTCAAAGACCAGAACATTTGAATGGTATTCAATGCGGAGTGTTGAGGATCGAACCTCTGACCCAAGGGAGGATAAGTCTGTCTGAGAGACAAGGTTCAAGGAAGGTTAGTGACTGGGATGGGAGAGCTGCCCTTATTACACAGAAATTCAGAAAAATGTAAAAAACTTGATACATACTAATTCTGAAAGAGCTTGACAGGATGAATGACAAGAGGCCATTTCCTCCCTGGCTGCAGGGTCTAGAATAATGGGCACAATATCAAGATTACAGTTTCGACTATTTAAGACAGTGATGATGAGAATTTTTTTCACTCAGGATTGTAAACCTTTGGAATTTTTCAGAGGGGGGTTGAGGATGCCGTTGCAAAGTTGGGTAGATTACTTGCGGATCGGAAGGCAAGATGTTAGAATTTGGTGTTGTAAACTGTTGGTGTTTGTAAAATGCTATGGGGAAAGCAGTGTATGGTCCCTTTAAAAGATGATGTGCATTTTCTATGCTTAGAGATTCAAAAAAGATGTCTGTGGGTTTACAGGTGCACAGAGCATTAAAATTGAAACACTTATATCAAAAAGCTACACTGTTAGCAGGCAAAGCAGAATTTTTACCAAGACAACAGATTCTCAATTTTATGCGATTTAAACCACACCCTTAGATACCAAAAACCAATTAAATTTAAATTTAAACCTACAAGAAATTGATATTTATCAAGGGTATAAAAGATGAGGGCATTTGGAAAATCGGGGGAAGAGAGTCAACTGGCATCTGCCAAGAGAACAGCACTCAGCTCTAAAAGAATTACTGGCTCTCAGAATTCTCTTAAGCTTTAGAGTAAGCTCTGTCTAAATTAAAGGGTACCTATGGCTCAAATAGTTAATGTTCCTGACAAAAGAATTCAATGGAGAAGGCGCTCCTGACAGAAGAATTCGAAGACATGGAACACTCGAAGATGTAACCTGGCTGTAATTTCGAGACTAAATACTAATTTTTTTATTTTTGTTTATACAAGTGGAACTTGCGTTTATTGGAACAGCATACCAATAGAATCTTGTTTTATTCAGAAATAGTTATTAAGAAGAGATTTATATGGTTTGTTAATAGTTTAGTTAATGTGTTCACTGTTAGAGCTAGATAAATAAATAGTTACTTGTTGATTATAAAGAGTAAATGTCAGAGGGTTTATTTTATTTAAATCACTCTTTTACAACAGATCAGGGGCTCTCTTACAGGGGTGCCTTGGTTTTAGTTATCAGGGGCGGGCGGCGGGGGGGCATACCTCCGCTATATAAGAATGCTCCATTTGAGAATGTTCAAGATGGAGCTTAGTAGGTTTTGGCACAAAAAGAGAATGAAAAGATATGGACAGGAGAGTTGACGAAAGAGGAAGATCACCATGATTTTACGATTAGTAGGGCAACTGTGATGTCTAGGATAATTTAAATAATGGATAAAGACAGTAACTGCTAGAAGTGTTATAGGGTCACTGCCCAAAATTATAGGTAGCTAGCAACAGTCATAATGTTTAATCACATCTCAAAGACCTTCTGGAAAGAGCTCCTGTGTAGATCACATGCCATGACAGAATGCACGAGTCATAACATATGGGATCTTGTCTGCAGATTATTTCTAGGGACCTAGGTGCCATTGCTGGTAAGTTACTGAGGACTAACACAGTCACTGGAAGTGTAGCTTGCTATATTCCCCTTGCTGTATTCTGCCTGTTCAGTTCAGAGAGCAGAGTTAATATTCCAAATTGCAGCACACGCATAAAGTATCTCAGGAAGAACAGCCCAACAGGTCTATGCAGTAGCTTCCAGGTTGCTGCATGGCCTTGTGGGAGCATAGCTGACAAGGAACACTGCTATCAGTCTCACTGACTCACAGTCTGATTTGCATCATTCAGTGGGATTTTTTAGGGTGAGAAACCTGCTGCCCCTTACTCAACATACTCTAAATCATCACTTCAATCTCATACTAGCAGGCATACGAATGCTCTTGGGGCTGGTCTTGGTGGTGATGGTCACTGACCAAGCAATGCTCAACTTCTCCGCCTCCCAAAATACAAAGTGCAGAAAGAGCCAACTTACTTTGTCCAAATGCTGAAGTGGTGAATCCGCTGGTGTTGCCGAAGGTGGGAGTGCCAAACTGCGACTTATTAAACATCTTGCCAGATTACTAAGATCGCAGGCAACTGTGAAGAGAAACAGACCAAGCAGAGAAATCAGTCACCTAGAACTACGTGTGCAATATCAGAAACTCCTAAAGCATCAAAAGGACGCCAGCATACGAGGGCATGCCAGATACTGACTCTTCTTCTGCTTCATGGAAAACCCCAACCAGCAGAATTCATCCTCTCCAAATATGGGCTCTTTCTTAAGCGCAAATCTGAAGGTGACTAGAGGATGTCTAAAAAGGGGGTAAATTAAAGTACTGTAACTCCTTGAATACACAAGTGTCAGACCAAAAAAAAATTAAATAAGGATTTATGAAGTTTTTTTGGGTGGGAGTTGTGTGTGACCGATATTAGCATGGATAGAGGACTGGTTAATGGACAGGCAGTGGGTAAGTGGGTATTTTCAAGGTGGCAGGCTGTGGGGTGCTGCAAAGATCAATTCTGCAGCTATAGCTATTTACATATCCACAAGAAAACTACCAACATATTTTTAATAAAAAAAGAACATGTGAAGAAAAGAAAACCAATGCTGTATAAATAGTTTGGAAAAAGGTGACCACAAACACCAAATTGAAAGTTTTAACCCTGTGTGCAATTACATCCTTTACACAAACGCAACCCAGGTGAAGTATCAATTATACCTTCTCTGGAAAATTTCCGCACATTCACGACATGCAATTCTCTCAATCTCTGCCCGAGAGACACAGACACTAACTCACTGAGTAAAGAATAACTACTTCGGGCTTCTCCCAATCCTGTCTACACAGGCTGTTTGGTTGACTTGGCAAACTAAGCAGACCTCCCACTGCTATAAATGCTGACACGCTGAATGGGATTTGCTTGTGGCCGTTCTCAGTCTGTCTGTCTGGGATGCAAATCTTAAATCAGTAAAGATTTCAGTAATTATCTCACCAGGAAGTTTGCTAGGACACAACTTTAGTTGTACAATTTCTTGCAAGGGCTGTTTTGACCTAATGCTGAAAAAAAGATTTTCTGACCATAAAAAAGAGGCACCTACACAGAACTGAAAACAAAAACAAAAACATTTTACCTCCACTGTAGAATCTAAGTTCCAAAATAAAAATACACACTACAAACCTTTACACCATACTAACGGCTTAGAGACAGAAAGTATCGTATACAAGTTAGCCAACAACATGAAGCTAGTTGGAAATGAAAGCTGTAAAGGGACAGAGGCTGCAAAGAGATATAGTCAGTTAAATGAGTGGGCAGCCAAGTGGCATATTGAGAGATAGTACAGGTTACTCAATTTGGTTGCAAGAATACAGAAACAGAATTCTTTTTCAAAGGTGGTGAAATTGTAAATGTCAATGTTCAGAGAGATTTGTGCATATTCTTATAAGCAATTCAGACGTTAGCACGCAGACACAGCAAGCAATTAGGATGACAAAGAGCACATCAGCCTTCACTGCAAGGGGACTGGAATAAAGAAATGTTTTTACAAATGCTCAGTATTTCGGCCAGACTATACCTGGAATAGAGGTAGAGGGCCTGGAGGTTTAGGGAAGGACTTTCAGAGCTCAGACACAGATACCAGTGGTGGAGTGATGAAAATGAGGACATTGCACATGGCCCTGAAAATGGTACTGCCATGGTTATGTTACTGGGCAACTAATGCAGAGGTCCAGACTATCATTCCGAGGACATGAGTTCAAACCCCATCACAGTAGCTGGTGGAATTTAAAGTCGATCAATAAAGCCAAACAATGAAATGATCATTTATTAATCTTGTTTACTAATATTCTTTTAGGAAAAATCTGCTGTCCTTATCTGGTCTGGCCTATGTGCCTCCAGACCTGCAGCAATATGGTTCACTGGTGAATCAGGGATGGGCAATAAACGCCAGCCTAACCAACAAGATGCATATCCCATGGATGACTAAAACAAAAGACCATGCCCCAAATACCTCCATCACCATCCTGGAGTATTGTCAGACTCAAAGGCAACACAGTGGTATACAGGAATGAGTAGACCAGGCAGTCCTTAGCATTAGCTCCAGACCCCACAAAGTCACATGGCATTGCTGCTGACTATCCCCATTAGCTGATGAACCAGTACCACACCATGCTGAACTCCAATTGGAGGGGACACTGAAGGTGGAGATGTACTCTAGATGTGGAATTCTAACACCTATCAATAACAAAGGCTCGCAGTACCACTGCTAACCAAGCCGGTTGGGTCCTGAAGGGCATATCTTCCAGACTGTGTCTATGGCAGGTGGTGAGAAAAAGCCAACATGACGGCAAAACCTGTCCGACCTCAGCCTCACTCAACACCATCCAGCACAAAGCAGCCAAAACTTCCACCATTCACATGCAGCAGTAGCTGTGTGTCCCATCTACAAGATGCACCTCATTAACTCACCAAGACTTTTTGGGTCAACAAGGTGCAGGGCTGGATGAACACAGCAGGCCAAGCAGCATCATAGGAGCAGAGAGGCTGACGTTTCGGGCCTAGACCCTTCATC